ACTTTATGCAGAACCTGGCGGCGTGGGATATTGACGATGCGGATTTATTGGGTCACGGTGGCACGAGATTCAACATCAAGTGGGACAAGGACCAAGCATGGGGCCACCTACCGCCCTAAGCTGGCAGGGCATTAGGAGGGAAACATGGTCGTGCCATCGTGATGGATGGGGAGGGGAAGCCTTTCTTGTAAGATCACATAACACTGAGGTAGCTTAACGGAGAGAAGAACAAACAACACCAAGTGGGGAAGGGAAAAGATGTCGGGGGTGAAGGGGGGAGTGTAGGGGGTGGGGGGGGGCAGTGGTGGGGGTGGGGGGGCGAGCGTGTGGGCTGCGGTTGGGCGTGGTGGGAGTTGGCGGCGTGGGCGTGGGCGGGTTTTTGCTTACTCGCCGTCTCCAGCACGAGGGCGCAGGGTATTATTATAAAGATAATGTACAACAATTCGCCCTTTTTCGAAGGTTCTACCTTGTTTCTTTTTGTCTCTCCTAGCTTTTGCTCGTTCTACGAAAAAAAAATACCTAGTCGAACCGCTGTCCCTCCAGGGGATCCCTCGTCCCCTCCTTGTCGAGCAACTGCACCACGGTCCCATCCTCGGTCTGTAGACTCCACTCGAGCGTCTCGAAAAACCCGCCGCGGCTGTTCCGTCGGAGACTGACGAACTTGGTCTTTGCCGTGCCTCGCGTGCCCTTGACCCAGAAGCTGATGTCGATGGTGCCCTGCATGGGCGACAGCTCGCCGCTGATCCACGGCACCTTGCTGGCAAAGTAGATTTCGTCGCCGAGCAGCTCGCGCGCGTGGCGGTTGGTGCGCAGGGCGTACAGGATTGAGTTGACGGTCGAGGACGATGACTTTTCGTAGTTGAAGATGGCCAGCGACGCGAGCGTCACCAGCACGATGAACACGGGAAGGGTCTTGAGCCAGATCGAGATCGGGCGCGGGAGGTCCGGTAGTGCGCGGTCCGGGCGCCGCGAGAGAAGAGGTCCTGACCCTTCGCGCGGGGGAGGGACAAGTGGCCGCACGATTCGGTCGTCGATAGTAGCGGAGGCGGCGGCGGAGGAGGAGGAGGATGACGACGACGACGATGCGCGGAATGTGTTCAGTCTCGGGGCACGGATCGAAAAGGGGTCATGCTGGTAATGCGCCCGCAATATCGTCCGGCGGAGAGACAGGGAGAGCGGGAGTGTCTGGAGCTGGGAGAAGCTGTAGGCGGTAGGGAGGAGCTTGTTCGCACCCATGGTGGCGGTTGGGGGGAGTTTGCTGTCAGGGAGGGGGAGGCTTCGTCGCGTGGCTGTTTATTTCTTTACAGCATACAGGGCGCCCTTCTTGAGAAACCGAACAGACCTGGGAGTATCGCCAGCGGGCTGGAAATTGAGGCTCATGAGATGGAAAAACCTACGTTGCCAGATGCGGAATTATTCTGGGGGAGCAAAGGCCGCTTTAAGCCCGAGCCGAGACAGCTACATATTACTTGCTGGCCACCAGGCTGCCAGGCTCCTAGGAGTTTTAGTAGAGCCACCAAGCCCATCTCCTACCTACATACGTGGTACGTCTCTCCTACTAAAGAGCACACATTTTTCTCCTCGTGAAATGGACATCCACCCTCGAATAATATCACGAGGCTTCTTCGAGCCATGGTCCCAAGTGATTTTAAGCCCTGGCTACAAATGGCAAATGGCGACTGACATCCCATGCACTCTGCTTTTCCCATCCCATGGTCAGGACACGACACATGTCAAGCTGCTACACAATTCTGGCGGGACGCCGACTGGACATCTCCAGCCGTGACCAGCGCGAAGAAGCCACTCGGCCCTCCTTGAACACGGCCAGCAGGTGTTTCTCAGGTCTGTCGAGAACGGTAACGTCCTCCAACGGGTTTGCGTTCAAGATCAACAAGTCCGCCACGAAGCCCGGCGCCACCCTCCCAAGAGAATCCTGTCGGCGCATCATCCGAGCCGCGTTGATTGTGGCACTCTGGATGATCTCCAAGGGAGACTGCACTTGTCGCCGCAGCTCAAACTCCTTGGTCTGCGCAAAGTGCAAAGGTCCCAGGAGGTCGGTGCCGAAGCAGACAGTGACGCCTGCGTCCCTGGCTAGCTCGATGGCCCTGAGCCCGGATTCGAGGGTGTCCTTGAGCTTGGCTACCGATTCGGGGCTCACGAAGCCGCCAAACTCGGGCAGCGATGCGGCGGCATACGCCACCAGGGTCGGTGTCAGATAAACCCCTTTCTGGGCCATGAGCTCCGCGGTCGCTTTGTCGAGGAAGTTGCCGTGCTCGATCCCGAGGACACCACAGTTTACCGCTTGCCGTATCACCGCCGGAGTGTATGCGTGCGCCGTGACAAACGTCCCGGCATTGGAGGCCACGGTGGTGATGGCCTTGATTTCATCCTCGGTGAATTCCATGTCGCCCAGACCTCCGCGTGGGCTCGAGACTCCTCCACCAGCCATGATCTTGATGAAGTCAGAGCCGAGACGGAGTTCTTCTCGCGTGAACTTTAGACACTCAGGCACGCCGTCCACGATCCGACAGGAGAGCTGTTTGGCGCCGCCGTCGTCGAAAGCAGATCGCCTGTCCCCGCAGCCCCCGGACTGCGACAGCTGACGCCCTGCGATGAAAAGCCGGGGACCAGGATGGATGCCTTCCTCAAACGCAGCTTTCAGCGGTAACAGCGCACCGCCACAGTCTCGCACCGTGGTGAAGCCCCGGTCGAGCATCGCTTGGCCGATCTCCGGCTGGCGAAGCAGTGACGTGTCCGGGGAGAGATTCAAGATGTCGTCAAAGCTGCTAAACCCCTGCACTGCCGCCAGGTGCACATGGCAGTCCCAGAGACCCGGTAGGATGTATTTGCCCTCGAGGTCGATGCACAGCGTGTCTCCTCCGTTGTCAGTCGTATTCCTCCCACCTTCGTCCCCAACATATCGGACGAAACCTCCTCCCAACCCGACGGTGGCGTTGTGCCGTACACTCCCGTCGACGGGATCAATGACACGGGCGTTGGTGAGAATATATGTCTTGTGGCGTGGCAGTTTCCACGGCGTCGTCACAGCATCGACATCTATCGGGGGATCGAACTTGAGGGGAGGTATCGCCATGCTCAGAGTATAGTAACTTTATTCTTTTTCTCTGGCGCTCAGGTTTGAGTTTCTTGGTAGCGAGTAATCCAGATCAAGATTCAGATTCAGGTTCAAAGAATACTGTATACCAGAAACTCCTCGAACACCGTTCAATTAACCAACACGGGTCTTTTGTCTCTCTTATATCACCCACCCCAAGCGTCCGAGTGATAGATAGCCAGGGCAGGCAGACAGACACTCACTCGCCCACCCGCCGACATCCCCGTCGCCACTTGTGGAAACCCATTTCATTTTCCTCGTTCATCAATATTTCTTACAATGTACAATGGCTGACTTGTCCTCTTCTCTTCTCTGCCTGCCACTGACCTGACCAGGTCTGGCCTAGCTTGGCCTAGCCAATCATGGGGATCTGCATTTTTTTTCGCTGTGGCCTTCTCGACTTGGACACTGGATGGCATGGATAAAAGTGGGGCCTTGTGTGTACCATAATGGACTTACTTGATACCACCCTGGACATGACCTGGAGGGTGCACAGGGTGTCGGTCAGAGACTTTCCTATCTCGTCTCGCGTCTCGGTAAAGCTAAGGCTCTATAACCATGTACCGAGTACTACCTTGGGCGATTACGAGGTATTTCCCAGTGCCGCCTCGTCAGTGATTCGTACTCGTACTTGGCGTATAGACACACCCTTGGTTCATGGCGATGGGCAATAGGTCAGCTGAGGGATCAGTGATGTTTGCCAGCTTGCCAGGATAGATCAGACCTGATCAGACTTGATCAGACCAGACAGGGAGGGCACGGTACCAGGGTTACACTAGCCTAGCGCACCGGGTACATACCCTACAATCGCTGCATGACTTGACCAAAAGGGACGGAATACAAGCCTAGTACGAGGTCCTTATATTTGGCCTTGAAAACGGCTTGCGCTGGTGAGAGGGTCTCAAAGCAGTAGAATCTCCACGTCCAAGTTCCTCAACACGTCGCGCCAATCCACGAGGACGATACCGGCATCACATCCTCGTCGTGCGGCGACTTCTTCGCGTTCACTCCAGATCCGCTTCACGACCTGGTGGATCAACGTACGGTTGGCGACCCCGAAGCCCGTCGAGAGGCTCAGGACGCTGTCGGCCAGTGTCTGCGCCTCCATCGCGTAGGCTTCGGCGGCGGCGATGAAGATGGGCCAGATGGAGACGGCGGCGCGGTCCATTTCGAGCAGCGACGCCGCTGCAGACAGGGTCTGGGATACCTGGTCCGCTACCACCGAGGGTGGATGGCGCAGGACCACGCAGAGCAGGTAGATGGTCACGGCCGAATTAAACAGGTTCAGGTTCGACACGATGAACTTGCGCTGCTCTGCGCGCTTCTCCACCGCCCGCTGTCTGCTCATGTAGAGCTCGACCTCTGTGTCCAGTGGAGAGTTGAGCGCGATGAGGATTCTACTCGCCTGGGCCAGTTCATCCTCCGACAGACCTGGCTTCTGGCTGCCCCTGAAGGCGCCTCTCGCCGCCAGCTGTCCCTTGAGGAGACGGGCATCATACAACGCCTTCATCAGCCGCGACGTACTACCGAGCGTATATGCGAATCGAGGGTCAGCCGTGACGTCTTCCAGCACCTCATGGAGCGTCCTATCCGTACTGGGAGTGTCGCCACCGATGATTTGAGACATGAGCGTGTGCAGAACGAAGCTCTGTGTGATTACCCACGCCTCGTCCGAAGTAACCCAGGGCTTTTGCATCAAAAACTGCGCGACGTATTGGATTGAACCTTGGAGATGGTGCTTCAAGCCTTTGGACTGACCGTGAAAGACATGCTCGGCGAGCGTGACGGTCAGCATTGCCGCCAGCGTACTGCTAAAGTCCTCCGTTGGACGACCGAGGCTGCAGCGAAGGTGGCGCAACGCAATGCCAAAGTGCTGCGTAGCCAACCTGCGATAGCTGGCAGGGTTGGGCCCATTGAGGTTGGACAGGTGAAATGCCGACTGTGCGAGGATCCCGTGGAAGAGGGATCGGGTACTGTTCGAAGTCACGTCGTGCACTGCGAGGCACGGGTATGTTGACTTCCAGGGGCTATAATCGTCGTTGATGGGCGTCATCATCACGGACACATTGGAGATGTAGTGGTGGAAGAGCTTGCTGTCTTCGCGTGATCCATGAGGGATCAGAGAAGTGGACAAGGCTGCCGGCATGGAAACCGTGGATGATTCAAGATCTGCATGCTCGCGGTTGCCTCTTGCTTGTGGTGAAGGGGCTGTAATCACTGATGGTCCAGTAAGCGGGCTTTCCAAGCATCCTACACCCTCTTCTCGAGGTCGAGGCGCTGTCTCCCTGAACGGGACCACCGGGGCGGCCAAAGTACCAAGGCCTTCGTAGCTCGAAAACGTAACGAATGGGCTGCGATGATGGTGTAAGACACATCGACACCTCTTCTTCTCTGCGTGTGTAATCAGATGCCCGACTTCTTTCAGTGTCCAGGTCGGATATCCATCCCAGGTCAATTCACAGGGATAGGCACGTCGCTGCTGTGGCTCGTATTCCCCAGACTCGGCGTCGACCCACACGAGTCGGATGTCGTAGCCCTCACAGGTCAGACGTGAGCGAAGGCACTGCGTACACTGGGGGACGAGATTGTCGCAACGGACACCTCGGCGGCGGCAGGTCCAACAAGCCGTAAAAGTCCGCTGGGAGGCGACTTTGGGCATCTCTAAGTGGCCATTGGGTAGATGGGGAGGTGGACTCCCGCTTCCCTCGGCGTGAGGATTAGAAGGAAAAGGAAGGCCGGGACGAGAAGAATGTGTCTCGCGGGTCAAAATCTTGGGCGAAGTGTTGAAAGGGTCATTTTGGGACGTCGATGATCAACGATTTGCCTGGTCTTGAAGAGGAAGTCCATAACGAAACCTGCTTCCCCACTGCATCATATTTGTAATGGGCCGGTCAGCCTCGTGGGTTTCTATTTGGCCACGTTGATACTGCCTGGCCGGACCAACTAGGCCTGGCCATCTGAGGTGCCTACACGAGGCACCCAGAGAATGTCCCTCATCACACACTACACAATGTATTCGGCTTCTTCCCTACAGTCACGACAGTTCTGTAGATTGTTCTTCATTCTTCATTGAGACATGCTCAGCATGTGCACTATCTTCTTCTTCCGGCTTATCGCTTTATTCTCAATATCCTGGCCGACTGACGCAGTCATGGTCCTTATTCCTGGTGACGCCTCCTTAGCCAACAACTTTGCATCTCTTCTGTCCTGCAACAACATCCGAAGTCTGCGCCAATACTGAATCGCCCACACGACCCACTCACAATCGGATGAAGTCGGCCTGCTGACTGAAGAGTCGATCTTCATCCATGGGACCCACCTCGTTGTCATGATCATGAGGAGTCACGGGAGTGACGGGACACTGTCCTCCAAGGGGTTTGTCTGTTCGGGATTCCACGAGAGTCGAGGGGTTCCGACTGCGGGAACTGTGCAATGACTGTCCGCCGTTCCCACCTCCTGCTTTGGCAATATGGGGATGCGGGCATCTGGCGTTGCGACAGATGCCAGATCTAGCTTGATCACGACATTGACGGAGATGCCGGCAAGGACAACTTCCACCTCGCTCGCAGTAGCCAGAAGAAGCAAAGTCCGAACAAGGTGCAGCCCAAGGCTCTACCGGTGCATGGGAATAGGGACAAGGGGATCGATTGCATCTTCCAGCAAGGAAGTATTTGCACGTCGGAGAGGTGTTATGGGTGGGAACATGACTGAGATTACAGTTGATGCCTCGAGAACATCGTTGATTGCAAAGGACAGAGGGGCATAATGCAACCTTCATGGGGTCGTGGAGATGGAAACAGTTCGTGCCACGTGCGCAGTACCCTAGACGGACAGGATTAGTATCTCAAGCTTCAAAATCTGGCTTTCTGCATAGACTGATGTACCACGGAGACTGTATTGTTGGCATTGCCTCTTTTGAACGGTCGGGCTATTTCTTGCCGTCAGTAAAGAGCGCCTTCGAAGGGGGAGACAAAGGAGGGAGAATTTGCGCATGAGCTATACAAACCGAGATGTATCGTTGAACTTCTGCTGCTGAGTGTGCAGTGGTGAGTGCTGGTCATGCGTTATTCTGTGACGATATTCCGGAGTCTGCGCTTTGATGCTTACCCCCGAAGATTGGTCGGACGCTTGGAGGGACTGAAGAGGTGGTTGGTAGGCTTCATTTCGCTGGCCAAAATCGGTACTACAACTGGTCATCAAATCCTCCGAAGGCAGTGTACTGACTTCAACGTCCCCAACGGACAGATCTGCAAGACTTGAGAGGGCTCATTCAAATGGGGGATCATTGACATACATTCACTGTTTTCGGAGACCTGCGTCTGCTGATCTATCTCAGGAGTTGTGAGCTCCGCATCAGAGCCGGGTATCGAGGACAACGAGTCGTTCTCAACAGTCGTGGTTTCGGAATCAACATCCGTGCTCTCCTGTGTCGACTGTTTGGGTGACAACCAGTTCTGGATCCGGGTCTGGTGCCATTGCAGAGCCTGCTTCAAAGCGCCAGAGGCTTTCTGTCTGACAGCAGCTATGAATGTCGGCTTTGGATATGGGGAGTACCGTATTGATTGGATCAGAGGGGCCTTAATCTTTGCAGGGTCACTGTTGCTCTGAGGAAGGGAAAGGTACGTTTGAGAAGCAACATCGCGATCTTCTAGCGGATCTGTACGATCTTGTCAGCGTCTTGACGAGCAGTGTTCGCCGTTCTTGATGTACTTTTGGAATGTTGTGTAGAGGGTTCCATGGCAGCTTTACTCATGGTCTTCATACGAATGAAGAGCCAGTGAGAGATTTTAACTCTAATATGTCATGAGTCACAACATCTAGAAGAAGGATACAGGCCATCGGACCAGATAAAAACTCCCTGTGAGGGTGTAGTGAATGTGAGGACCAAGCATGAAGCCTCTCGAAATGGACAAGGTTGGCAAGGCTACGCTTGCCTCCTTTAGACGGAATAGTCCTTAGCAGGCATGTTTGCCGATTGGCCAGCCCTCCTCCAACTGCGCTTGTGAAATAATTTGGATCAGAGCTCCGAGACAGTTCTGTGTCCAATTGGCTTGATACATCAATGCCAGAAGACAATGAACTGATTTAGGGGGAACGCACATCCGATTGCGCTCTATATTACTATTCCCAAAATGCTCCAACCGCGAATACCTCTCCGCGCACTGTGCAGGAAATGTCAACTGCCGTCACCCGGCTTTCGCAGGACCTACGCTCAGGTACAAGTCATCGACCCTGTGCAGCCGAGCGGTTCGGTCACAGAGACCACCGTCACAGATCTCCCTCTTGCCCAAGCCGATGATCGCACTTCGCTATCCAAATTCGAAGTTCGGCTCCGACGTTATACTCCTCGAACCCCAGGTATTCGACATCTGGTTCGCCCATTGAATGAACATCTATGGAAAGGTCGACCACATTTCCCTCTCACATTTCCCAAAAAGGGTCATGGCAAAGGTGGCCGAAATCATACTGGACATGTCGTGGTGCGGCATCGTGGAGGTGGTCATAAGAGAAGGATACGAATTGTTGATTTTGCAAGACACACTGGGGGAAAGCACCTGGTAGAGCGAATCGAGCATGACCCAGGTCGCACTGCTCATATCGCTCTCGTGAAGAATCTTCAGACCGAAGAAAGGAGCTATATCCTAGCGGCCGAAGGTTTGCGAGCTGGGGACACGGTGGAGAGCTACCGATCAGGTCTGCCACAGTCACTGATCGACGAAATGGGCGGACATATCGACCAGGGTGTCCTGGCGTCCAAAACAGCACATCGGGGCAATTGTCTGCAGTTGGGCATGATCCCTGTTGGCACCCCCATATTCAACATTACTCCGACGAAAGGCGACATTGGCAAGATCTGCCGAAGTGCTGGGACACATGGAATCATCATCGGGAAAGGGGAAGACACGGTGCAGAAAGAGATGATGAAGTTGATTGGTGACAATGGCGACATGGATCTGTCTACTCTAAGCACGGAGCAATTGAGAAAATTCGAGAAGGCGGCCAACTATGTTACCGTGCGCCTGTCCAGTGGGGAGGTCCGACTCATCGACAAAGACGCTGTGGCAACCATTGGCGTTGCAAGCAATGTCAACTTCAAATACACCTCTCTGGGCAAGGCGGGTCGGTCGCGCTGGCTCAATATTCGACCGACTGTGAGAGGTGTGGCCATGAACGCAGCAGACCATCCGCACGGTGGTGGTCGAGGTAAATCCAAGGGTAACCGCATCCCGGTGAGCCCTTGGGGAATTCCAGTAAGTGTCCTTCTGCTATTATTATTAGCCACTCTAACCCGTCATCAGGCGAAATCCGGCTTCAAGACGCGCGACAGGCACAAAATCAATCCTCTCGTTGTTACCCAGCGTCCCAGGAACCAGGGACGACGCAGAAGAGGTTATGCGTAGATCAGGACATGTATCAATATTGTTGGCATTGACGCACTGTAAAAACTCCTGTCTCGGACACGGGCTTGTCTTGTCTGGTGGCTTAGGAATTATGGTAGTGAGGGCGCAGACTCCGACGGTGCAGAATCATTTCCGTTCATCTCTCTCGAACCGTAGGAGGATTCTTTCATGGTTACTGTACCTCGACCTCTGTACCAAGTGCACTGGGGAGCCGGGGAGCCTGGGAGCCCACTGCCCAGACGTCCAAGTTCCGCTCCTGCCAAGGCCAACTCGCCCAGCTGGCCTCCGGGGATCCACAACATGCACCTATCTTTCCTACGAGAATCCCCATGCCCCCTGGGTGCCCCCCATTGCCCCCCCGATTCTTAGTCATCTCCAACTTGTCCCGACACCACCAAGTTGCTCTCCATGGAGAAGCGCTACTAGTTCTGGGTGAATCGCAAACCTTGTCGCCGAACCTCCACGCGACGGCGAGGTTCACTTCGGCTTGAGTGTTGTTCTCCTCGTTAACAAATTACTTCATGGCCTCACTACAAATCACCTTTCATACTTACGTAATCTATATATCTCTTTGCGCAGAAATGGACAGTTAGCCATGGACACAGAAACAGAATGGCCGCAACATCTCTCGTCGACTTCAGGTGCGAAGCGTCGATCTCGGGTTCAATCAGCTTGCCAAAGGTGTCGCCGACAGAAACTCAAGGTGAGTCAGCCCTGCGCCATCCCCTATGCATACATGTTGATGTCGATGCGCAGTGTGATCAAGAGCGACCTTGTTCATTGTGCCTGAGGTCCGAGGTTCCTTGTATTTCAGAGTCCAGGCCAAGGTTAGTCGTCGCCCTTGTCGCTCTACGAGCATTCCAACGAGATCGTCTTGTCGTGAGCTAAGGAAGGATTACTCCAAGTTAGGCGCAAGAAGTCAAGGCTCCATTCCCCTGAACCAGATAATGGCCAGAGCGAGAACCAGAATGGAATTGTCCCTCCAGGTTTACATCACGCCACGAGTTCCTCCCCGCAACCACGATACAGCCATGGAGACGATCGAGAAACCAGTTCTACTCCTGGCCAGCAAACGAATAGTCCAGCCAAGGTCAAGGGACCCGTCAGTCTCGATCGACTCTCAGCGACAGATCCTGAAGCCTACAACCAGAGGATCTCATCGGCGGGATTGACACAGGAGGTCAGTCTGCCAGAATACGTGTCGAATATGCTACTGATGGGGAACTCAGATCATTGACAACTTCAGCCCCGAGATTGTCCTTGAGAGCTCCACCTCTGCCCTCCCTGGGGGCTTGGGAGGCTCTCAGGGGGTGTTCGGAACATCTCAGGACGATATCACGATGGAACAGCTGCTCGGCCTCGAATTACCTTCCAAACGCGTGACAGACTATTTCCTAAACACCTATCTCGATGCTGTACATTGGTTTATGATGCTTTTCCATGAGCCAACATTTCGATCGTCATATGAGAGACTGATGGCGACAAGGAGATTTTCGCGGTCCAGGTCAAATCAGGTCATCTTCATACTTCTGGTACTATCCATGGGCGCACATTACGCCTCGGAGGACGACGTTCGACAGAGGTTCCCTACCTTCCAGTTGCAGACGTTTCGAAAGCTATCTCTCAAAAAGGTCGAAGACAGCATGCATGCCTTATACGACGCAGCGGATCTCGAGTCTGTCCAAGTGTGTGTTCTTCTTGGGTCATATTATGTCTATTACGGCCACCCCAACCTTGCATTTGTTGTTCTAGGGGCTGGACTCAGATGCGCCCAACTCATGCTGCTGCACAGAGAGTCAGCATGGCGAGGTTTGTCAGAGATTGCGAAAGAAGAGCGCAGACGAGTCTTTTGGGCTCTTTTTATCTTCGACCGGTAAGTAGAGGAGCTGACCGGCCGCACTTCTTCTGATTCGGATTGTAGGTTTGCGGCAACAATGTTTGGTCGGCCATGTGGCCTTTCCATGGACGAAATCGACATCAAGATCCCCGAGAATATCGGCGACACCACCGTGCAGCATCCCTCCTTTCGCTCCACTGCGACCATGCCGGACGGGACCGTGGAACCAGTCACGACATTTGCCTACTTGAAGTACAAGGTCAAGTTGTATCAGATATCTTCGCCTATTATTGGTGACTTATATTTCCATCGAAGTCGGAGTGTCTCCGAGTTGGCACTCAAGGTCTATCGCATTGACAAGGAGCTGTCCGACTTCTTCAGCTCACTGCCGCCGGAGCTGAAGTTGGAGGATCTGTGTCGAAACCCGGCGGAACCTGTAACAGCAAATTCCAGGCCCTTTATACTACAAGCTTTGGCTCTTCAGATTGCGTACGATAATGTACAGATACTTCTACACCGCCCCTTACTCTCACAAGATCTGCGAAACTTCAAGACAGACGCTGGAACAGCTGGGTCCCAGAGTTCGACATACTCCTCTGGACAGATCGACTTTGCCAATGACAACAAGCTGTCACATCGACATGTACATGAAATCCTACTGGCAAGTCGAGATAAATGTTGGGAATCCGCCATCAGATCTTCTAAACTGGGCGACTACCGCCAATGTTTGGTCTCTGCACGGGAAACCCACGCCGCAGCATTTCTCGGGATCAATCTTTTCACAGCGGGCATGGTCCTTTGTATCGTAGCTCTCTCACGGCCTCTGTCCTCGGAGGCGCAAATGGCTAAACAGGCCGTTGCTCGGATCATGTCCCTCTCACGGTTCTTGTCTGACAGAGCCCTCCTCTCGGCGCAAACATCAAAGATTTTGAAGGATCTTATTCGACTCATTGGGGAGAAAGAGATCAAAGCGATGCTTTCGGAATCGGACAACTCTCAAAATATGACCTCCTTATCAGGGACAAGGGTTAGGGATGCGGTAGGCTCCTCTGCTGCCACACCTGGTCCTGCTTTTGGCGATCCGCAGTATTCTGAGGACGTGACGGCAAATTCCACCACGACAAGGACACAGGACGAATCTGTTCCTTTCACAATGAACCAAGTCCAGACCTCCATCGGCGACTTTGACTTCTCGGGCTTCGAGAATATAGATTTCAACAATGGTTTACTAATTATGCAGCAAGGTAAGAGCCATCGTTCAGGTCGTTCTGTCGTGTGTCTTTGTAGCTAACAGATGTTGCAAAGCGATGTTCCCGGAGGTCTCTGAGACAGATATGGAGAGGTCAAATGGCGATGGAATCAACCAGAACGTGGCTCCATACGGCGCCGACAGTTCTTATGTCAACCAAACAGGCGGCAGCGACATGGGGCTGTTGGGTCCTGATCTCAGCATGGTGAATGCCGTTGGGCAAACCTGGCTCTGGGATTCTGCTACATGGTGATCGATTTATAGCCACGGGCACAGTTTTTCGTCCTCGTCGGCTTGAAAAGAGAGTTGAGTGCTTCAAGTAAAAGAGGCGAGCGACGGAAGCCCAATAATTCAAGACGAAATGCAAAGTGCCTTGATAGAGCAGGACCGAAATGAGTGGAGAGTCCCGCATATTGCAGCACCTCATATGGACCCCAGGCCCGATTCCACAAATGTACAGGAATCTGATTACTTGGTTCGGTGTTCTCAAAAGCGTTGAGCCTTGCCATGCCACAAGGCTGTGCTCGTTCGGGAAACCTTCCCTCTTCCAAAGTGGTGTCCAAAACATTTCAAAAAAGTTTTGTGGTTTGGGAGAGAAAGTTGCTGAATCTCCAAAGCCTTGGAGGTTGTGCTGGGAAAATCTCTCGTTGGCCAAGACTACCTCCACTAATACTGCGTGCGACAGATATAGAAATCCAAGATGGCCAAAACCAAGACGAAATCAGGCTCGAAACAACGAGATATCCTCCGCTCAACGACCTCTCCGCTCGTGAAAGGCGTTCCGAAAAAGTCGCAGAAGTCGATCGAAGACCTCCTCACCGAGGCTGCCGAACTCCTTGAACAGGCTCAACCGGAACTTGCGCTTCCGCTTGCGGAAGAGGCCCTGAAGAGACTCGAAGCCGAGCGTCAGGAACAGCATGCTCCCAAGGAGGATGAGATCGAGATCGACGACCTGTTGTCCTTGGCCGCGCAGGGAATACCCACGCTGCCGTCCGTTCTGACCTTGAACGCCGAAATCCAAGTTGCATTGGGAGATGTGGAGTCGGCACGACGAAACTTTGTACGCGCGACTCGGATCGACAAAGACGGGGCACTGATATCGGCGGAACCGTGGCTTTGGCTCGCGCAGCTGTGTGAAGAAGGTGGGGCAGAGAGTATCAGATACTTTGAGCAGGCGTGCGAGGTGCTCAGGAATGAGATCGAGGTGCTCGAGGAGGCGGTCAACGAGATGGACACCGGGACGGACGGGGATGCGGGCGCGAAGAAGGTGCTCGACGAAAAGAAATCGAAGCTGGCAGACGCCCTCTGCGCCATGGCCGAGGTCTACATGACTGATCTGTCGTGGGAGAACGACGCCGAGTCGCGATGCGAGTCGCTCGTCACCGAAGCCGTGGCTGTGTGCCCGGAATACCTGAGTGCCGGGGTGCTACAAACACTGGCGAGCGTGCGAATCAGTCAAGAACGGATAGAGGACGCCAGGACAGCCCTCAAGAGGAGTCTCGACATCTGGAACGACGTACCCTCGGCCTCTGTCCAAGATCCCCTAAAGGACCAAGAAGCCAGCGCGGGCGAAGATGGCCGACGGCCCGACTTCGCCACCCGCGTCTCCCTCAGCCGCCTCCTCATGGAGGTGCAACTCGAACCCGTTGCCATGACCGTCCTCGAGGGCCTCGTTCGCGAGGACGACCAGAGCGTCGAATGCTGGTACCTCGGCGGATGGTGCCAGGTGCTCGTCTCCCAGAAAGGGGATACCACCTCCGAAACGAAAGCCAAGTGCCTCGAGACCGCGAAGCAGTGGCTGGACAACTGCCTCCGGCTGTACCGCGTCCAGGGGTACGAGGACGAGCGGCTCCGAGAGCACGCGGCCGAGTTGGTTGACGGGTTGAAAAAGGAGTTGGGGCTCGAAGGCGAGATGGATGAGGACGACCGGGACTGGGAGGACGTGGACGATCAGGACGACGACGACGACGACGCAGAGGAAGATGGAGACCTTGAGATTGAAGCCGATGTCGATGTCGACGCCGAGGACGATGCTGCTCGTCGTCATCCTGGAGCGAGTGCCAAAGCCACAGCCAAGGACGAGGACGTCGAAATGACCTGACCTGATCAGCTAGTAGCTATGAACATTTATCCCATTCTCCTCTCCTCCTTGCCACAGATCTCGTGGGACTTCGAGGCTTCGGACATGTTTAACGACGACCAACACGGGGGATATAGACACTACCGAACCGACTACCAAAAATACTTTCTCTCATGCGAATGGCACGACACGACATAGAGGAATGAATAAATACAAAGTGGCAATCGCCTGCCTGCTGTCATGGTCTAAAAGTGCAAACTGTATTCTGTCTGTCTGGTACACTGATGAATGATTAAGCCGCTTCCTCTGCCTTGATGTGATGACTGACTGCTACCTACCATCGTCTCGAGTCCAGTCGATAGCGTATCTCGTATATACATCGTACATCATAAAGGCCCGTCTCGAAAAACCCGGGCAAAAGTCTCTCGTGGCGTCTCGGGCTTCCAGTCAAAGAGCTCGTTATCCAACTCGCCCACCCCATCCGCGACACCATATCCGCTGGCCAACAAGGGCTTGATGCTATACATCATCTCAGACAAGTCGTCTTCGTCCACCCTGGCTTGTTCTTCGAGTTCCTTGGCCTCAGAGACGTCCACCCAGGTGATTCGGTATTTGACCCCTCTGACTTGCTCCAGTTCGCCTATCAAGTCTTCGATCTTGCCTGTCCACCCTTGTACCCGCAGTGTGCGACCTGGAACCCCCTCAGAGGAAATTCGTAGTGAATCAACGGTATACCGTGCGATATCGGGGATGCTTGTGACACCGATCCTGTTCCCAAGCTGCCCATACACTTGTGCCGTGAGTTTCTGATGGTCAAACCCATAGAACTCGTCAAGCGCCCATTCTGTGAATATGCCAGTGACCATGAGGGTGTATTGAAAACCGGGTGCTTGAGCGGCTTTACCACGCAGATAGGCCCTGACGGCTTGTTTGTCGCGGAAATAGCGCAGGGCTTGGATCTGTCGTTGTGCGATGTCGCTGTTCCATTCCGAGGCATACCAGTGCTTTACGCCCGCAGAGACGGCAGCATCAACCATGGCGGGTTGTAGGATCATCAGGGCGTTACCGATTGCCGATACGACGTGCGTGAAGCCTGCGCGAAAGAGTCAAAATGCAGTCGTGTGAGAGACGGCCGAGTTGCTGGCCTGCGAACCTTGATACGATCCTGCTTCGTAGAATGAACCAACCACAACTTCGACGTCGGATTCGTTGAATTTGCTGGCTCTTTCAGGGGTTGCGAGAACGGCAATGCGCTTGAACTGATGTCTCTGACGGATAAGCTCATCTAGGAGAGGTTTGCCCAGAGCGCCACTTGCGCCGATCAAGAGGACTGAAATATCCGCCATGTTTGACTTTGATGTGACAGCAAGCGAGGAGTTAATAGTCTTGATATCCTCAGCCTGAACTGAAAAAGGACATGATGGAATGTCCTCGAGAAGCGCCGCTATTTGAACTTTTCATGGCTCCCACGGCAGGTTTGAGGCGGTAGATGTTAACCTCAAAAATTCAAAGCCGCCTCACGACGATTTGATCCTGCGAAAATAGTATTGGCCTCTTGTGTGCTGAGTGATGCAGGTGCGCGACTTGCGGCTGTATTCCAACCTGTTTTGGCAACAACTGAACCCGAGTCACGTTTCTTTCCCGATTCGGACATTGGTATATCAAATGACGGCATTGTTTGGAGGCATTTCCAGATAGCAGGATGACTAATAGCTGGTAGGAGCCGCTCAGCATTCAAGATCGATTGAGGGAGAAGGTTGCCGCATGGTCATTCATCGCCGCATCGAGTTCTGCTGAAGCCACTCGCCGTACCGAGGACTCGGGCACATAGAATTTTGGAGGAATTGAGAACGCAATCCGTCACCAGTGGCGTTGGCATCCGTAGGGAAATCTAAACCCAAATGGTGAAACACAAGGTCTTCGTCAGTGAGCATAATCGCATCTGCAGCAAATACGGCCAGGCCTGGCCTGGCCAAATAAGCAGTCATCTCGGACAGGACGAAACTCATAGAGTATTAAGTCGACCGATCAGTCTTCTTGCCACGCACTCTTTTTCACCACCTCTTGAGATCTAGAGTTTCCGATGCCCACCTTGACCTTCGACCAGTCACGCTGCATGAGGTGATCGCCTTCTTTAGCGTCCCTTCTGTTCTTCTCCAGATAGAAACGGCCACCTTCATAGCAACCCAAGTATAGACCGCTACCAAGAGATGTCCAAGTAGCTCGGAGGAGCGCACCCCGGAACAGCCCGCGGGTGCCCTCGGCCTTGAGAATTTCTCTAGCCACGATGAATGCGCTTTTGCGTGACCCTTGAACGCCTGCCATGAGGAATTTGGACGTCTTGCCTTTGGATTCCATCCTGGGTATATCATCTCCGGATCCTGCAGCGAGCATGATTCTGGTCTTGACGACGTCGATCGGAGTTGTGATCCACGCGGCTCCGCTTCCGGCAATAGCGGCACTCATCGCAGTGATTCGCGCGCGCTCACCTATTCCCTCGACAGGTCTCCCGCCATTTCGATCCTTCCGCCGTTGCATGAAATATCCTTTCAGATACTCAAAGGTTGGAAATTGTAGTGCGGTGAATGGCAGATTTCTGGCGGCCAGCGCGGTATACCCCCTCCATAGTCTTGAAGGATTGTGTCTGAAATGCTTGAAGACTTCCCAGGAGGTCGATGTTCTCTTCCCTCGAGCACTAAGCATCTGAGCGTTTTGCTTGAGAACCTCCGCTGGGGTGAGGATGGCGCAGCTGACAAGCTCGGCACCACCACTCGCTGCAGCATGGATAGCAGGCTGAGGAAGGAATATCGTGGAGTTCGGAGGCACTGCTTCCGAGATACCGAACTTCAAAGCTTCGTAGGTTGTGAAGAATGCACCAGACGAAGGAATGGTGATGAGGATGACGGAACCGACGCCTTGGTAGAGACCACGGAATAGAGAAGGCTTCGTCTTGCCACTGGCATCTTTGTATAACTGTTCATAGTGTTGCGATTGAAGACGTGTCTTGAGAGTGTCAAGAGGATAGACAAGCAGATCGACAGTGAACGCAGCAAATGCACCAGCCTATGCAGCATGTTAGGCAAAGGAAGAGAGCTGGGACCGAGTCACTCACAAACCAGATGTCGGAATTGGTATTATTAGACATGGAATACAACGACAAGCACACAAGACAGAAAGAGATCTATATACTCCGTCAAAGGTTAGAGAAGAGAAGGTGAATTGGACGACTGGCCAAAATTATTTACTTGGTGAACACCGATAAATTATTTGGAGAGACCGTCATTGATCACTTGCCTCCGCAGAGAACGCTCCGACACAAGGCTGAGTGACAGCCTTGTCACTCAACTTGAGCATCGGGTGCCCGCCACCACAACCAAGTGTTTCTTGTTCCAAGTAGCCTGTTGGCACTATGTAGACTTCCAGCATCAATCAATTCTGTTAGATAGTATTAATTTTGCCAAGGAAGACTCCAGCGCACAGATACAAAACTGAGCCCGCATTCCACGTGACTCGGCACACTTTCCTTGTCCATCACCACCACCGCCAAAATGTCCCTCCGCACAAAGACGGTGCCAACGGCGTGGATGGGTAGAACTCATCTCACACCCACCAACACAACACTGCCAGCAGTCATGGCGTCCGTTCCGGAGTACGTTCCCTGATGGCTTCGTTAATGTTCAGATCACTGACAATCATGCAGAAAAGAGACGCAGGTGAAGGCGGTCCAGCTTGAGGCGCTGGTAAGTGCAATTCTTTTCATTCGCTCCTCACAGAGTTAGTGACGAGATGGAAAGGTCGTCATGAAAGTGATCAAACACTGCGCCAGTCGCTTCCCAACCATCGCAACCGGCTTCCTAGTCGGCATGGACAACAGCAGTGGCACTCTCGAAGTGACCAACTCTTTCCCCTTTCCTGTCGTCGATCTGCCGCCAGAGGCGCAATTCGACAACCAAACTCAACACTTCAACGCTGCTGCCTCCGCTCCTCGCGCAAAGGCCAACACTGCCTACCAAGCCGAGATGATCCGTATGCTACGTGAGGTCAATGTTGACGCGAACAATGTCGGGTGGTACACGAGCGCAAATTTAGGCAATTTCGTCAACGCGAACTTCATTGAGAATCAATATCACTACCAGAAAGAGTTGAATGAGAAGACCGTGGCACTGGTACATGATGTCAGTCGCAGCTCTCAAGGAATCCTGAGCATTCGCGCCTATCGACTGTCACCACAATTCATGACGGCTTACAAGGAGAACAAATTCACCACTGACAAGTAATACCCCACCCTTGCTTCTAATTGAGAGCTCTGGTGCTAACGATTGATGGACAGTCTCCTTAAGTCTGGTCTCAAATACTCAGATATCCTCGTCGAAGTCCCTGTTACTGTCCACAACTCGCATCTTGTCAATACCTTTCTCCACCAAGTGCCCCGCATGTTGGCCTCGGGCGTCCTAAAACCTCCCAGCTCTGTTGACGAGATTGAGAATAACCCCGTTGTCAAGAACGACACCCTGGCACCATCCTTCGATTCACTGTCAATCTCTATTGACCCTTACCTCTCTCAAACCTGCGACAACCTTCTTGACAGTATCGAGACCCACCATGTTGAAGCCAACAACTTCTCTTACTATTCCCGCGCTCTGGCCCGCGAGCAGGCTAAGATCCAGCAGTGGCAGCAGAAGCGTAAGGCAGAGAATGCGGCGAGGGCACTATCGAAGCAGCCACCGCTGCCAGAGGATGAGTGGCAGAAATTGTTCAAGTTGCCTACCGAGCCGAGCCGCTTGGAAAGCATGTTGAATAGTCGGCAGGTTGAGCAGTACGCCAGACAGGTCGATGGCTTTGTTGCAGGTACCACAGGGAAGATGTTTGCTGTCAGAGGAAATCTGTTGCCTGGCGACGGTACCGAGAACAGCTCACCGCGGAACGAATAAATGGAGTGGTGGGCGTGATGCCATCCATATCGAACGTCGCACAACCCAGCTCTTCGTGATGGTAATGACTGACCACAGGCACGTGGTAACATGGAGAGAACAAAGGATAAGGCTGAGCTGAGAGATGATGTCGTTCAGGTCTCGAGCTGATCAAAGGTCTTTGGACTAGGTCATGGACCGGACGAAATGAGACGGATTTGAGCACTGAAGTCGACATGAAGTGATATGCTATGAGACCGGAACCGAGCACGCAGCCGGCACAGAGTGAAGATGAACCCAAAAAAATGAACAATGAAATGAGCATATGACACCATGGCCCGGATGTGACGCGGACTTTCTTGACTCTACCGCCTTCTGCTGATTCAACCATGCCACGCATTTATTGCGCAGCATGCCAGATTATGGGAGGAACGGTGGTATTATCGGGGGCGTTTTGGTGTCACAACCAGGCTCGAGGTACTCGGGCGCCATTCTAGCTGGTTTGCTGGTGATCACAGAAGGGGCAAAAGTTAGCGCTTGTTAACCCAGCCATGCAGCTGGTTTCAGGAAGATGGAGATTCTATCTGGCGTACGGTAGAAAGTGGTCAGCGTCAAGCCCTGCAGGCTCCATACGGGAGACGAGGAACAGAAGAGACAGCAGACAGCAATTCAATCGGCCGCGATGGTCACTTTGTACATTTTTGCTTCGAACCTCACAGTTTAGTCTGTAGGACACATGGTCTACTTCTTTCGGGAGAGAAGCTCTCGCCATGAATCTTCCCTTGTGCCGCTGAGATATTGGGTCGCATTGACAGCCCGTGGTGCGGATTCTTGCAGGTCTTCTATGTCGTGATGCCGCAGCGTCCATGATGTATAGATCTTCTACAGGAAATAGCTCAAGAACGCAATCACTGTGGTTGAGCCGGAAATGACTGGAGAGGATACCTTCGCTATGAACGGATCGGGCCTTGTCGTCATCCACACAGGCGCAGAGTTTGCTTGCACCTCATGTCAGGACTTGTACTCGATTGAACTGGTGCAGACAACTCGCGTCGTAATACGTATGGATGTCGAGATAGAGAACTTGGGGAGCTATTATTTGTTCTCCTACCATTTCACCTTAGCACAGCTTTCTCGGTGTGGAGGTACGGTACTACACCCGGGCGGGATTGAGCAGCTTTTCGCCCGGGAGTTCGAGGGTGGCTACGTTCGTACTTACTCTAGGTCGATCTGTGCAGGGATCTGTCTATCTACATATCTAGTCACCGGGGAAACACGCCATGGGTTTGGTCTAAGAAGTAGCGAGAAAAGGAAAGGGCGAGAATCGACACAGCAAGACAGCAAGAGAGCCAGAGGAAACAGTGGCAGACAAGGGCGTCGGGCAGCTGAAGGTAAAGGCAGAAGAGATGCAGTCATCTCACAATCCTCAGAGCTGCCACACAAGGAAAGGGCGGGAAAGGAAAGAGGACCTTGAGGGTTCTCCAGCAGCTTCTTCGGTAGCCCGAGCTCAGGATATTGCACCCTGTCCATGTCCTTCAAACCTGGCGGGCGGAAAGTCAAGCCGAGCAGACATTCTCTCTCGCAGAGAGGAGAAGACGGCCCCCGACAAGAACGGCATCTTCCGGATCTCGGGCCACGCCCTCACTGAGTTTGAACGGCCTCGAGCCATCCATTCACACCGCATATGTTTGAGCCCGGTCAAGCAGGTTGTGTTTGACACAGAAAAGGTGGTGAAAAGGACGGATATGTTCAAGAGAAGTAGCATAAACTCCCAATACATCAACATGAAACCACCAACGTCGTGCGTGTAAGCCAGCACACAAACGCCAAACATCATTCATTGCAAGAAGCAGAGAAACCTCGCCGCTCTGCATGACCCTGAAGCACCTTGCCAGCAACAACCCGTTCGGTGGACTTGTGCTAGCGCCGCTCGGAAAAAAGACTTCTATTGACCCAGATGTATCAACAAAAATGGAAAGCCCACCCAATACATTTTGACGAACTCGGCGTAGGTCCAGGGAGAGCGTGTCGTAGTAAAGCCGGGGAGCGGGTCGTCTCTTGAGCCCATTCAATATCTCGTAAGTGCCATGTGATTGTTGAATCCCTCTCTAATTCAGCAGCCAAACCTTAACAGCAGGGCAGGCAGAATGTTTCTGTCTGTGTTCAAACCAGGCGACGAGGTGAAACCGTGTCGACTTCCAAGGTCCTAATGGTTCTGGCCTAGTTCCAATTTCGAGCTTCTGCGCCCTGGTCGGCGTCTCGCGCTCTACGCTCAGCCTCGGAGCCCGAGTTCAGCAGTTGGTTCTGGGTCTGCTTTTTCTGCGCTGACAATTGGGTGGAAAGTTTCCCACCCGTCTTGCTGGCCCTCGCGGCGCGCTCCTGGTGACATCAGTCAGCTCAAGGTCCTCGCCAGGGTGATAGGCCAGCATCGAGGCGAAGGCCGCAGAACCACGCTTCTGGCCCTGGAGACACCTCTTGGCTGCGATACAGCAATAACTCACCTCTGCTGCTCTAGCAGCAGCACTTCTGGCATCATCGGCGCTCGAGGCTCCATCTCCACCACCAAGAGGTCGACCAGGAGTGCTGCTTGTGATTTTCTGCGGGACGGGAGCTGTAGTTTGTTTCGGTTGCGTGCTCGCTCCAACCGTACGGCCAGGAGTGGAAAAGTTGTCAGGTTTGTTGGCTGATTTCGAGCACAGATTTCCCATCGCGAAGGTTCGCGGGTCTACGGATAAGGCAAATATGGGGCCCGAGATGCAGATGTGGAGCTTTAGTGAGCGAAATAGGATGTCTAAACGACGAGGGGGAGGGGCTGGGGCAAGGAAGTTAGAGCACAGACGGTGGAGGATGAGGGATGAGGGATGAGGGATGAGCAGTTTGTTTCTGTTATTCAAGAAGCGATGGAAAAGAGGCGGTGCATGGTGTGTGGTGGGGGTTTTGACTTTGGACCTTCGTTTGCACAATGCGCCGTTCGGTTTCGGGAGGAATTGGGGGGAACCAAGGGACCAAGAAACGCACCTGGGCACCTACGCAAACCACCCAGTGCCCAGACATGCACACACTTTGTCAGAAGCGGATCCATGCTACGCCGTGCTAAACCTGATCTAGCTGCCGTGGTCGAGCACGTGCAAGGCTGCGACTACGGCGCCGCACACTGGAAATAATACGAAGCACTTAATTCCAACCTCACCAGAGGCATTCGACTTGATCTATCAATCAACTAATCAACACCATTGCAGACAACATGACCGAGAGATGCTTTGTCTGCCTCACCTATGTGCCGGTATCATTAGAACGTCAAGTGAAAACCGTCTTTCACAGAATTTTCACGCATTTTAAAGGGCTAGGAAAGAAAAAAACGGCTCCACTCTCAATACGAGCCAGACTCGGGAAATACGACGCGAATGTAAGAACCATGAAAAGAAAATTACCATTTCAAGAGCGCACTCTTTCAGAGGCCCCATCTGAACCACAAGTATCTGAAATGGCGGTATGACCAGTAGCACGTCTGCTGCCCATCAACCAGTCTGGAACTCGACCAATGAAGACACAGGTCATCCACCATGTCATTGCTTGCCCTGTTCTCTGTTGTGGTCGATGTTGGTTGAGCCGGGCCTCGGTGATGGGCACTTCTCAGGCTGCGACGCGTCTTGCTCTGAATGAACGCGTTTTGGCTTGCCAAAGCAGACCTCGCTCTATGCATCTTGCCCCGACACAAGGTCTAGGTCAACATCTCGATGGTGGCTACAAAGCGACCCTGTTGCCCACAACACCTCAACAATGGCTGGAGTTTGGGCATTTGAGGGGTGAGCTCCACAATCTATCACGCGTCGCGCTGAAATATTTCTCATTGCCCTATGCTGTATCCGTCCTACTGAACCAAAGAAATACAGAAAAGTCTAAATGCACGCTGTCGACCCCTCGCCGGCTAATTGAGCAGGTACGTGTCGAGGCGTCGAGCGCTTGGAAGACAACCAGAGAGTACCCCAATGCTTGTCTTGATATTTGAGTGGACAATGTTACTCTGGCCTCCCAACCTGAGCCACTTTCGGCCACTGTTACATCCATCCACGTTTCCTTCCCATGAGTTCCTTTCACGCCGCTCAGTCGAGAGTGGTAAAATCAAAACACAGACCATCCACCGCTCAACCACTCTTCTATTTTGCCTTGTTTTTTTTTTCCTCTCTCTCCTTCTGGTCAAAACTTTATTGGACCCCGATAATGCCTGGTCTTTCACAGCATCTTTGAGTTCGAGACAGAGGAACCGCCTGGCTCAACAAAATGTTGTTCATTTGGTTGTACTTGCCCCCTAGTACAAATATTGCACTGTTTTCCTTGTCCTATGTCCCCCCTTTTTCCAGAACCCATACAGCACTTCGACACAGCCCGAACTTCTGAGAATATCAGATTCGAAAGCCACATTCAATCTGACACTGAACTCCAACCTCAATCACCCTGCACTCTCCGTTGTCTTGAAGACAACGACCTCCCACACAACAAAGGTACAATTTGAGTCTGGCCCCTTCCTCCCTGCCACTGGATGCTGACTATTGCCGAAGCGCCTACAATATACCAGGCGTCCTCACCAACACCCCGGACTTCTCACCACAGACCTCTACACGTTCAACCACTAGAGTAGTCAAGATGTCCGGCAAGTACAGCTGCACAGTGTGTGACAAGAGCTTCACGGCCAGAAGCACTCTCAACGGCCATCTGGCGAGCGTTCATCTCGGAGAGCGCTCGGTCTGTGATGCCTGTCAAAAGGTCTTCACAGACAAGTCCAACTTCCGCAGGCACAGAAAGACCTGCTCCGGCAACGCCGGCCTTTACAGGTGCGCATGGCACCAGCTCGGTTGCAACCACACCAGCAACCGTGTCGACAATGTGAAGCGGCACGTCAGATCGTGCCCTCACAAGCCCATTGCTTGGGCAGGCGAGTTCCCAGCACCCATCAGGGCTGGGCTCGTTCAGGGTGGCCAGGTCCCAGACAACGGGACGCCACAGACCTCCGGGCAGCAGCAACTGCCCCAAGACGCCTCCGCCCTGGCTCAAGGGCCTGCTGTCACGCCCACGACGGGCGTGGATGCCTCCCAGCAAGGCATCGACTTGGCACTGGGTGATCCCACCGATCCGGTGTGGTTCGCCGCCAATTTCCCGCAATTCGACGGGTACTGGGTACAAGACGTACCCCAACAGGCACCGGGTGAAGTGCCTCAATACCCAGTGGCCCAGCAGGCCGCTGGCGGCTTCCAACAGGGCTTTGGCACTGGGTGGAACGCCGTCGGCAATGGCCTGTTCACAGGTCACGGGGCTGGCGGAGATACCTTCCTGACAAAAGCTCCCGCAGTAGCCAGTGATTTCACTGGATTCTACTAGTTGCATTGACGACAAACGGTTCCTGAGGCGCCCAGGATACTCGACGTTGCAGGTCAGGATGGCATCCGAGCCACCGAACTTGGTCAGGGCGGCTGCGACACATCAAGCACCGGCAGCAGATGGTGGTTTTGGAGGCAACCAACCAGTTTTTTTCGACCGGCTGTTTGTCACCACAGCCTGACACTCGACATCAACCTCCTCGACATCAACCTCCTCGACATCAACCTCCTCGACATCAACCTCCTCGACATCAACCTCCTCGACATCAACCAACGATGCTTGCAACCGCGAAAGGCAACTCAGGCCGTTCAGTCACTGTTTGAGCTGCAGATCAACCAGTGGCTTGTTCAGTCAGTTCTTGTCTGGAACATTGTACAGCTTACCTTCCTCCAATCCACAGCGTCTGGATTGTCAACATCTCGAAGAAACCCCAATGAGGCTATCAAGCCTGGAAAGTGGGTGGCAGGGTGGTTTTCCTGGGTTTCTTCGTCCTCCATGATCCGTCTCACTCCACAAAGTCTCGACCGTGTCTCAAACACTTGCTGCTGCTGTTTGAGCGGATCACATCGCTTTACCAAAGCAAGACATCATCAAGAACATTCAGTCTACTTCGACATCTCCGGCTTCATGTTCTTGCACCTCACTCATTCATCGACGGTGTCCTGGAAAGTGGGCGGTTGAGTGTGACTGGTCTTCAGAGGTTTCAGGTTTTCTCGGAGTTCGGCGCTGAGTCTCAAGGCTGTATGGCAATCAACATCAACACCACATCAACATCAACACCACATCATCAACCCTCTACAATCTCTACAATATGTCCCCTTGGACAATCCTGGAAAGTGGGTGGTAGGGTGGCTCCAGGACTTCTTTCAACACATCTCGGCTTGTCACCCAACGAACTTCAGCACAATCTGCAAACTCGATCGCCATTCAAGCCTTCTCTCCGACTATTGGCACAGGATGTCAACCTCATATTGTTTCAAACCAATGGAATCTGGAAAGAGGGTGGTAGGGTGGTTTCCAGCATTTCTTTTCACACAACGAACACATCACCGACACCCTCTCGACTTGCAGATTGGGCTTCACAGTCCTCAAACACGACACAAATGACGGAAACAAAAAGAAGCGTCACGTTCCAAAAAAATCCAACTCGTCACAACGGCAATCACAGCACAATCAATCGACTGCTCGGAAAGAGGGTGGTAGGGTGGTTCTCAGAAGTCTTGTCCATTGTCCAACACCGAACAGCAATCTCGTCATCGCTCCTGTTCTTCGGGGGTCCAACAATCCCCATCGTCTGCTCAGGAGCACAAGCAGATCTCCTCGATCCCCGAGCAGTATACGGCACAAACTCACCTGAGGTTTACACTGGGCTCAACACAACCAACGATCGGAACTCTCAAACATACAATCCTCTGGAAAGAGGGTGGCAGGGTGGCTTCCAGAATCTCTTTGCAGAGTCAGGTCCATCTTCTCGGGCCATTGACCTCCTCATCAAAACACAACACATCGACGTTCTACCTTCGATTCATCCCTCAACTCGACAAAGTTGTCAAAGGTCCTCGACGATCGAGACATCTCACCACATCTCACGACTTCATTTCAATCGACATACCTTGTACGACATGTTCGAATTTTGCACCATGAATCCAACATATCCGGACAACCAATTTTTTTTTTTGGCTACATTTTTGAGGCATCATACCCATGTACAACTACAACTATTCACGAATCACGAATCACGAATCACGATAATATTCAACCTTGTACGACTATATTTCTGGAAAAGAGGGTGGGGAGGGGCAGTCTCCCGGACCTCTGTGTCAGTTACAGCTCTGGTAAGTCGACTCCCGTCCATGGGCTCTCCTGCTTGCGCCACAACCAACGTGCTGGTCCAGAATGCAGGCCAGATATGTAGATACGAGAGATATCTGTTCATATTTGGCACAATGAACAGGAAGGAATCCGTACTAAAGGATGGTTCTTGCGACAAGTGGGGTGGAAGCGAAGCTCTGAAGGCCATGTACAGCTGCGTTTACGTCAGTACATTGTAACAGGGGCTGTTGAGCTGTCGGGCTGTCGAGCGTAATATGATTCACATGCAAGATAGGGGCAAAGAATGAATGAACTTTGCTTGATTTTCTTCATATTTTCTCTGATTTTTTCATTCTTTTCAATCATTCAGATTCCTGCCATTTCTACCCAGCTTTTTTGCATGCCGTATATCTTCTATCTCACCAGCATCAAATCTCCTTTCCGGCCCCAACACCCGCAGGCCCTCGCCGCCGCCCTCACGCCTCCTTGCCCTGGCTCGCAAATCACCGACGCGGTAAAAATGACAGTCCGACTGCGCTAGCATACATCTGTATCCTCCGTCTACCGTGTGCTCTCTCTCTCTCTCTCTCTCTCTCTCTCTCTCTCTCTCTCACTCTCCCGAGGAGTCGCACGTCCGTCTAGTTGATGTATGAAAGCCGCCATGTGTAGGAGAATCATCTCTCCATTTGCATCCTCCACCCCTTGTCAACCCGCAGACATGGAAACCCCGGAATACGACTTTTCCGTTTACCGATTTTGGAAGCCACCACGCACTGAAAGCAATCAAAACAAAGAGATAAAAAACAAGATCGCTTCGCTGTGCTGAAGGCTGCAAGTCGTCATCATCTGGAAATAGAATCCTGTTGCTGGATGAGAATCATGTTGTAAAAGGAGCGTTAAGATTTTTCGTAGTGGTCGTCGTTAAGCCGTGGAGAACAAGTTGGTAAATATGGCTGCTGTTGCCATCAGGTAAAAAGGCATAGCAGGTGTTGGTGACAAGGGATTGCTCCCTAGTATGGTATTTCTTTTCCTTTTCCAAGACCTTGCGGTCGTGCATTTGGCGCCTGTAGGTCTCTGTCTCGACAACGCCAGCCATTATAATGGTAGACAAATGGTTCTGTATAACCCGAAAGAAAATGTGTACAGGTGGGGTGAGGGCCTTGTGTACAAGTGGCAGGGATGGAAAGGGATTTGTACATATCAATTGCGAAAGATATCGGAAAGGACTTTGAAGAGCTTTCGTTTGTGTGGTGAAACGGGTGGGCTCCCGATTTCGATGCCCTTGTTGGAGTCGTAAAAAGCGCGAGGGGGAGCGACAGACATTGGTCCGACGATCTCGCCGTCACCAAGCTTGGGAAATTTGCCACTCTTGTCGTCGATGACCGGCACAGCCACTCGAGTAAGAGGCTTCTCGAGCACAGAGCTCGATGTGCTGGAATCCTGTGTCTCTGATCCGTCGCTCAGACGAGCCAGCACAGGAGCCAGAGCAGTCCTCATAAGGTCATGTTGTCGCTTCCAAGAGTCATCAATCGATGCCCATTTCTCCTCGGTCAGCTTGTAGACTTTGGAAGTCGACCCATAGTGTTCGGCGGTCCTTGTGATGTGCTTAGCATAGTGTATTCGCGCCTGATCCCAGTTTTTGCGAAACTCGGCGTAGGAATCCAAGTCCAGGGTCTCAGGCGTATACGGCTCAGGGTGTATAGTGTAGTTTGCATGACCTAGGCGAACAGCCCAGGGATCGGAAGGGTCTTCTAAAAGCTGCAATGGAGGGATGTCGCCAAAAGCGCAACTGTTCAACGTGTTTGCGCGGGATCTCGTCTGCATAGAAACCATTGACGGCTTCGTCGACAAAGGAGGGGATGGTAGGCATGACCATGGGGCCTCAAATGATGTCCGAGAGCTCAAGGCGGCAGGAGTAGGTGCAATAGCCGGCGATTGAAGAGGAGAACAGACAGGCTCTTCTCTCTGGCAGAACTCGGAAAACATGGGTGGTAAGAGTGGTGTGGTAGCTTGTACTGACTCTGATGACTCGCGTTCTGGCGTCTTCTGTTCAATATCGGTTGGTCCCACATCAGCGTCCACGGATATCTCGTTCGTCTCCGCCACAATTGAGGTTGATGGCAGGACAGTTTCGTGCTTGGAGACAGCACTGAGAGCTGGGCTGCAGATCTGCGACGAGCTCAAGGATCCTGAACGCGAAGCAGAAGCGCTGGTGTGCGTAACGATTGAGAGCTGGGGCCCAGCCGATCTGTTTTTCCACCGTCGCGACAACGACCCAAACTTGCTGCTGAAGCGGTGCCCTTGGGTTGATGAGAGCTGCTCTGCCGATCTCCGACGTGGCGTGTGATAAGGCTGTGAGGCGAGTGAACTGTCGATGGGCATCGCCAAGATCCAGTCGGGCTGTACCGGGGCAGTGGGAGGTGGAAAGTGGCTGTAGTCACTTGAGAAAGCCTTGTCATAGTCACTCCAGTCACATGCGCCGTCATTGACCAACGTGTAACCGTCAATCCCCTCTCTTTCCTGAGGCTCCTCAGTGACATCTTCCAACCGCTTAGGGACACCAAACATGTCAAGAGATTCTCGGGGAACGGGAGACGAGGCAATGGAGGAGCCCGAACCTCGCGAAGAATGGCCCTTGGAGAACATGGACACCGTTGGCGAGGATGTATCGAGTGAAGAGGCGGAAGAACGAGTGGCAGGAGGCAGCGTGTCGAAGGAATATGGAGTGGTATGTTCCATACTGAGGTATAGGTAGTTGGAGGGTATATTATTCTTAAGAGTAGGAGCGAATTGGATCAGTCGAGCGAGCGTTCGATAACAAGAGGAAATAGAATCGAAGAGGACTGAGACCGGGTTGGGTCACGTCACAGTCGGACAGCTGCGCGCATGACGGGCTGGTGAAGGTGGTCTCAAGTGAATTGGGTAGCGGACGAGGTTTGTCTCGGTGGTTGAGGTTAATGGCAGCTTTGCTCTCGCAGTGGCGGTGGTGGTGAAGGCTGGATCAATCAAGAGCGAGTGCTTCAGGCCAGACACAGATTGACTGGTCGAGGCTGAGGAGAGGACGCTCTACCTGTTTGCAAAGGTTCCATCAGTCGAGTGCCATGTGTACAGACAGAAGGGAGGAAGCAAGAGAGGGATGTTGACAAGTCGAACTTGGAGCGAAGAAGCCTGAGTGCTCAGTGGACAGAGGAAAAAGTTGTGTGCCGTGGCCCTGGGCCTGTTGGCTGTGGCAGCTGTTGGGCCGACTCCATGCAGCGTCGCTTGTGGCCAATCCTTCGCTGCTCGCTTGCGGGGGCAAGGGTCTGACCCTGTTAGTTTTGGTCTTGGTCTCTGAGACTTTCAAAACTCAACAGCAGCCACCCAACAGCCACCCACAGCCAACCGCAACTGAACGGCCGCCAGCCCACCTGGGATAAGAAGCCCCCGCGTCAACCCGTCGAGCCCCGTCCACCGAGCCCCGGCCAGGATAGGAAAAGCCCCAATCCACCCAGAGGCAACAGAAAGCAAAAACTCTAGGGCTCGAATCAGGGCTTTCTCCAGAACTAGAATGACCGCCACCGACGACAACGGGTGATGCATGCACAGTCCGGGTCGCCAAACAAAGCTCACTGCCACTTCTAGTGTTCGGATCTTTCACTCACCCATACACTCAAATTCTCTGAGTCTCTATCCAATCGCACCACCGATTCCTTCACAAATGACCGAGAGAGGAGCCGTGGGTGTTTTGTCCAGCTTCGTGGTAGGATGGGTTTAGGAGAACCGTTTGGATTGCAAGAGAAGACGAGTAAGTTGAGAAGGGAGCTGGTCTGGTGCGCACTGCCGGCTTCTGCTGCGACATGTCTGGGCTATATTTGTGTGAGGTCTGTAGCTGGGGGAGGGTGTTCTCTGCTTTGCTGGACATGGGGGATGTGGCCTGCTCAAGCAAGCAAGCCAGAGAACCACTGACGATGAGGTTTGTGGCTTGTCGGCAGTGTTTGCGGTTGGTCCTTTCTTGGTTGCTTGTCACCAGCCCCCCCTTCCCCCCTCCCCTTCTAGAGATACGAAAAGAAAGGCTCAGAGAAAGTGACGGCTGAGGCTGCCTTGCAGGTACAACGACCGGGTTGTCGCATGCGTAGTTTTGTCCGGCTTTAGCTACAGCAAGCAATTCTAGTGGGCGGAATCCAGCCTGTGGGACCAAGCAGTTCAAAGACACAGATTATTATTTTCCAAAGTCCGGAGCCGCTGTTTGTTGCAGCTGTCTAGCACTTGTCCTAGCCCATGCAAGCCCATGCCACCAAACGCTGTGAGATGGCGCTTGTGCCTTCACCCGTGCCGCTTTCATGCTTCCGCCCGTGGTGGAGGGGGACCTAGAGGGTGTAGAGTGCCTGGTCTAGTTTGTTCTGCAAGGCACTGGCGTAGTAGCTAGATGCAGGAACCGTGAACGGTATCAGATATACCCAATACCTAGTGGTAGCCAGTGCGACCACATTCTGTTCGTTCTAGTATCTACTACGAGGGCGCGCACTAAAAGTACTAACGCTAATTTAAATGACAAATGTTACTTACTGTGATAGAAGATTTTCTGGGCTTATAGGCATTCATACCTATCTCATAGCTATAAGTCAGAGCTAATAGGCGGTAGCTTAGTCTATATTTTCAGTCTTGATAGGCGCTGTAGGTACCGAGGATTGGGCTCCGATACCTCCGGGGGCCGCTATAAGGGGCATCGAAAATAAAGTCTGTTGTCTTTTGATCAGCTTGTCATTCTATCACTAGCGTTGACAATACTTTTGGTGCGCGCCACGGTACTCGTCGTAGTATCAAGTAGCGCACCATTCTCATTCCCACCTTCTGTATTGATGCATGGGGTGATTCACCACTGGCCTGTCTCCAACTTGCAGAGTTTGCACGCGACAAGCGACCCAACCCTACCTCGAACTCCTGGTAGCACTCCCTTTGGTACCTTGTCCAGTCCCAAAGACCACTTCTATCCTCCTCCCAAGGGCTTATGTAGGTACAGCACTTCTCAAGGATTCCCCCGTGCCTTGAGCTATATATGACCTGTGGGAGTATCGGACATGCAGGTGTCAGTCAGGCCCGCTTCTCCTCCTTTTCCTCAAAAGCACTGACTGACCAGCATCACAGCTTCGCGAGAATCCAGGAAGGATGCGAAGCGAACCCCTCCTCCTCACAAGGTCCAAAAAAACTGCCCGACCGCTAAATTGGCTGCAACGGCCAATCGGTTGCGTTCAGGGCATGTTCACCAGCTCGTTATTCGTGGCCCTCAATGTCATCTCCTGGTCCCTTTTCCCTCTCCATCTTTGACCTGCCTGCCTGCGAATAGTACGAGTACCTACATGCTTTCAATCGCTCCACTGTAGTCGCCGCTATTGTCATTCGTCCGGACGCATGGCATCATTGTTCCTGTAATGGACAATAAATTCGCAGAGTAAGAACGAAGACTTGGGAGATATATTTTCAGCATGCACAACTTGGAGGATGGGGACAAGGGCCACAGCCTTCCATCTCACCGTCCAGTGACTATATTTACTCCCCACGAATGCTATTGAAGGAGTCAGACAAGGACCGAGCATCCTCCGACTCTCGATGATTGCCGCACACTACATGTACAAGAGGTACCTGGTTCCTGGTTCGGAAGGAATCCACAAGCTGTACCGAGTAGCTTCGGAGGTATATCTCAGTCCTCTTGTCTGGGACTTGCAGCCACAACGCATTTGAAACCTCCGAGACGAGGCAACGGTCTCCAATGGGCAGGGATGTTACAATCGTTGGGGAAAGCCGCAATCGATAGTCATCGGAGGAAAAGTCTATTCCATCTCCACATTGCATGCCATGAGGTTTCTGACCGGGGAGCGTCCGCTAACGCTACCAGCGACGCAAGGATTGCCAGAAGCTTCCACATGCACACATCGCACTTTTGCTGGGTTTGAATAACAAACGCGCCATCATATCCCTTGAGTCTTGAGGTTTTGTCGCGGCGGTCAGAAGCTTCTTTCCCCGCCGGGGCTCCCTCCCTCCCTCGATGAAAACCTCCAGGCAAACAACATCCGTCTCAGAGGCGTGAAATCTGTTAACCTGTAGGTCCGATGGTCGGCCAACCAAGACCTGGCTAACCGCAATCACGACATTGTATCAGTGCTGTGGTAGAATTCGTGATTTTTCCACCCGTGTCACCCAATCACACACCGTCTTGGCCTTAAAGAGCGTTGATAGTGGCTTTTCCCACCAATGAAAATGCGGTGCACTGACTTTTCTGTGCACTATCGAGAGACCCGTTTGATTTTTGTAACGGCCTCGTATCGTCCACATATCAGTAACTCCTGGGTAGCCGTGACATTCCGAAATCAGTGCGATCTTGTCGAGGTATCTTGGTACAGGTCTGCCGTTGGTGGTTCTTCCGTTGTGCTCCCACGCTACAGAAAGTACTTGTAAAGCTCCAAACGAACCATCGGCCGAGTAGACTTACTGGTCCGTGTCCGGTGCGCTCTGAACCGCGTCCACCTGCCGCGAAAGGTATCCGAGTAGGGTCTTTTCTCACCTGCAGACCAATCGAAGGCGACAAGCAGACGACCAGCAGTTCCAGTCTCCAGTGATTTCGCAGGTATATCATGGATCATAGCAGTGCTTGATGTGGTATGTAGCATACGGTAACGTTCCTAGCTTTCGCCGCATGGATGGGCGTGAGTCAGGTAGTGTAAGGTAAGAGTAGTAAAACTGAGATCGTGACAGCTGCAGTGTACCATGCCATGTATTCAGGCTCACTGATAGCATGGAGGTAGCCTAGACAAACTGTTACACGTGTCGAGGTATGTGTGATGTCGCAGATAACGGTCGCTGGAGGTTTGAAGTTGTGACTGAGCCGCAAGGTTCGTGTTCTTCTGCATTGCCTCTCTCACGTCGAAAATTTCGACACCCAGTACCTGGACCAGAGCCGTTTCTGTTCCTCGGTTCCCTTGAACTTTATGTCCCATCGCGTCAGTAAAAAGCGACAACCAGAGAGGAGGACTAGAAAAAGTGACAAGAAAACAAGGTGACTTAGGACTTACCTCAAAGTCGACCTGATAGATATCCTCGAAGCCCTCCTCGAGCTTAGGTTCCTGGAACCTCTGCACGAAGGACCGAAATGCGATACCAGGGAGTTGAGTGCGATTTTCGGGGTTCATCTGTTTATGAACATGAGAAGTTGTCAGCACTCCGTATCTAGTCTAGATAAAATTGTCGATACACCAATTCTGACACAAGGAGCGGTACGCACTGTATTTGGATTCATTGCCCTCACAGCATCGTTATGCTCTGCGAGGCGAGTCGAGGCTGTGAAGCGGACACAGCGGATAGGGACATTAAATTCACGGGCTACCTTTACCCAGTACGCACGGGTTTCGATGTCTGCGTTTGTGTTATCTGCCATTCCAGGACGAAAGTTAGCAAGAACGAGGATGGTTCCATGCGGTGAAAGGCAGCAAAAGACGTTGACAAAATGTGAGGGACGAGGCGGGGAAGAGCGGATAGAGAAAGTCAGGCTAGATGATAATCTGGCGCATGATGTGAGGAGTGGATCCTATCTCAAGGGGACCGAGTCATTGTGGTTACGACGGAATCTGGGGAAGGTCTGGGACTGGTGGCAGGACAAGGGTAACACGAGATGCTGTGTAGAGTGGTGCAGAAGTGACATCTCATGCATGGCTCGACAGACAGCCCTCTGCACAACATTTCTGCATGACATGTCATACTGTCCCTGTCCAGCAAGTGATCTGCGTGCTACTGTCGAGGAAAAAGCGAGGTTGAGCAAGCCAACGCCTCGAACAACAAGAAGAACAAACGTACCAACTGCCACGGATAGCCCTGCTTCCAAGAGTTCCTTTGCTTTTTTGATGCATTTGTCGCGCTGTACGGAATTAGCAATATGTCTCAGCTTAAAACAAGTTCCCTTTGACGAAGTCCACATATGTAGGTGAGGGGCTAAAATGGTAGGATGTCGTGTTACTGAATCCGGTCTCCTGAGCGGAGACTGCCAATCGAGGGAAAGGAATGAGACTCACAGTCTTGAGGATGTCCTGATTGACTCTCTCATAACCGAGTGGTTGGAGTACGTCCCAATAGAATGTGCTTTTTCCAGCCCCTGGAGACCCACAGAAAATGACCAGTTCATGGGGGCTATTCTTCGTGAACGGCGCTGATATCAAACTTGCATTTGCGTCATTCACGGCAGAACAAGAAGGCTTTGCGAGCTCAAGGTGCTTTCTTGGGTCAAAGACGTGCTCGTACGGTTCGGTGGTCTCGTCGAGGAAGAACTCTTCTGGTGTGTGAAACTGAATGCCGATATTTGCGGCAAGATCCCTAGCGGCAATTAGCATACTATTTCCCCAATGCGTGGTGTTAGAGAGCACCTGTCCGACGTTGCATGATCTTTTCGTCTCTTGTCGGTCTTGTCTCTTCCGGCCGCATCGCCCACATAGAACGAGTGTGCCATGTCCACCGCTCCGTCTGCATGAAGATCGTGGTCTTCCAGCATCTCCTCCCACATCCCTACTCGAGGCTTGCGGTATCGATCTTGGCCCGTTGCGGCGTAGATACTGACCGGTAGGTCGAGTTGTTTCAGGATTGAACTGGCCTGGTTTTTGAAGTTTGCCAGGCTGGCCATGTCCTTTTTGAGCGTTTTGGGATTATCTTTTAGACTGACGGCTGACTGGTTGCTGAGAATGACTAGGAGATAACCATCGTTGTGGAGAGATTTCAGTCGGCCGGGGACTGATGGGTCCCACCACTTCCAACTCACAGCAGTTCTCGCCCATTTGTTTCCAGAATTGGGGGTCACGAGAGTGTCATCCAGGTCGAAGGCAGCAATCTTGACAGGAAGTGTGCGTGGTTGAGGTGGTTTCTGAGGCACGTTGTACTGGCCAATGATGAGGCTGTGGTTAACGGTCCGCCACACGAGTTTCTCCGGTTCTTTTTGTGATGCTGGTTTGAAGAAACTAGCCACAGCCTTGCCTAGCTATGGTCAGTATCTTACGGTGTTACAACATTCTCCCAATCATACTGGTTGTAGCCGATTCGATTTTACGCCTGATCAGGGGTGGGGAGATAGAGCCAGCCGGGGGCGGGGCTGATCGTTTCATGGTGTAGGACCGTATGAAGAGACCTGTGCTAAAGAGTTGAGGATGGGTACGCGAAACACGAGGAGTGAGGCGACTCAATCGAGTCAGCCATGAACGAGACGCCAGGGTCAGCGAAGAGGTAGTCTTGAAAGCGATAGTCAAAATTGGCCAATCTTTTCAAGTGCTGGAGATGGAAGGTGAGATGAGACTTGAGAAGAATCGACGCGACCAACGCGTTTGAAAAGACGTACGTCATTTACCCATTATATTCACGTCACGTGCAACGGGCTGAGCCAACAACACCCTCGAGCGGCAGGGCTGCCTGCCATAATCGGCGTCATGTTGCTCTCTAATCTTCCAATAGGTTCAAGTTCTACGTGAAGTGATAGGTAGCCGCGTATCCAGAGCCAATCTGTCGCCCGGTGACAGATCGACTGCCTGCCTCAACGCTTCCTTGATGGCCAGTAGTTGCCTAGTTGCTCGCTCTTTAAGCTCTGGGTTGTTTCCATCAACCACATCAATCGATGCCTGGAGGGCATATCCACCAGAGCTATCCAGCTCGGGGAGGCGGTCAATGTTCGATAAGAACGATCTGTCGGAGATAGCTTCATCTGCAGCTATTTGGGGGAGTTGTAGTACTTTGTGTAGGAAAATGGTGGTATCGTGATCATAGAACCTTGACCCAACAACCATGTAGCGCGAAACATAGCTGCATCATCGTCAGTCTTGGATCTTGCCTTTGAAGAGACAAAAGAGGTCATACTCATAGCCAAACTGGTCCAGAAACTTGACAAAGTCGCCGTCAGTCATTGACGTCCTGGATATCAGCCTTGAGCTCACTGCCTGCTTGCCCGCATCTGGAGTGTCCTTGAATTCAAACGACCAGCTCACCCTTGACTCTTGTGCATTTTGGCCATTACTGCCATCTGCCATGGTCACGTCGCCATTTCCTGCAAGTCTAGGGTGTCTCTCCGACGAGACCTCACCAACTAGTTGGACGTAGTAGAGGCCAGCATTGAGCATGTTCTTAACACGCTGCATATCCTGCTGTTGCTGGCTCGCCAAATGAGATGCACCAATAGACTGGACGAGATCGACTCCAGGAGGCTGGCGCGCCTTGAAGACCAGGTGAATCTCTTTAGCATCTTGGGGTTGCATACGTGCGAATCCGGCTAGTTGCTGGAGCATTCGACGGTGGTCATTCTTGCGCACTTGGCCGTAGAGGGCAAACTCGTGCATGGTGACGCGAGTTTAAGGAAAATTGGTATATCCGAGGTATTCAGGGCGTTGATTAATCGGTGGATGGGTTGATTCAATAATCTGCCGGTATGTCGTGCTCGGGGGGGAGACGTGGGTCGCTGTGGCAGTTGGAGTCTGTCAGGAGACACATCATCTGAGTAGTGGCGGTTGCTGTATCGTTGCTGGGGAATGAGCGGACATGTTCTCAAGTTTAGTCGGATGAAATGCGACGGCGCAGGCAGAGCATCGGACTTGGCGGCGAGTCAAAACGAGCACATCATCGACACAAGAGAAAGATCAAGCAAAGACACCCAGAGGCACGAGTTCATGAACCATTAGTTCGAGTCAGACAACTGGTTCGGAAGCGACTGAAGTAGTGTACGAGGTGCCTCGTAGTTGAAGTGGGAAAAGCTTCTTCCCCGAATAATCGGCAAAACAAGGCCGTCCCGTCGATATGATGGGCGCAAGGGCGTTACGCCTTTCTCCGAATTTCGAACTTTTTTGAGCAGCTTCAGCAAAGCTTCCCCCGAAGCTCGCTCTACCCTCGCAACTATAAACCACCCAGCAATCAGCAATATTTCTTTCCACAGGCTCGACCGCCTTGACCTGTTAATCCTCCCGTATATAAACCGATCCTGATTCCCTGTTCTCCCCCTAGATACGAAAGAACAGCCTGCAACTCCTCTGCCACGTGCTATTCCTCCTTCGCTCTTTGCTTTTGTCCGAGCACCGGCCGCTCGAAAGGCTGCACGCGAGAAATCGCCAGCCGGATCTGAGGAAGCAGAAAGAACCCAACCTAGTACTCACAGGTGCAGTAGACGACTTGAACATATAGTCAAGCACGGATAGGGATCTGTCTACAGCTCTTGAACACCTCGTTGCCGAGCACAGTCTCGACACCAAGCTCTAACAACCCACCATGCGCCCCTCCCTCATTCTCCGTTCTGCGCACCAACGCACCCCCCTCATAAAATTTATTGGAAAACGTTCAGCACCCAGTACGTACCTCTCTCTCTCTCTCTCTCGCGTGTCACACTTGACAACTACTAACGCGCGTATCCCTCCGCAGAATCGGTCGACCACACTCCTCACGCCCACCCTGCCTCGCCCACCCACAGTCTCCCTGAAAGCTTCGCCGCCTACCGGTCCAAAGCCCAACAACATGGTCCTCTAAGGGGTAGCGGTGGCAACGGCGGTGTGCCATCTTCCTCGTACTCCACTGCCGCTTCCTCGGGCTCGTCCATGGCATACGGCGCCATCGGAGGCACCCCAGGAAGAGCACTGGGGCCCATTAAACCGAAGCAAGGGGAATTCTTCGACAGGGAGGAGCTGCCCGCCAGGTTCCGTCGAAAGGCTTGGTCAGAAGAGGAGATTGAGGCGGTGGGCAGCGGAGGAGCCAGCTTGTTTGGTTGAACGTGGACCCGAGGGAAAGTTCGAGCACAAAATAACTTCTGGACTCGTGAGCGAAAGGGCGTCTTGTGTATAAGAGCCGTGAGACTGGGTTCGATTCGACGATAACCGATTTTATCATTCTCTTTTCAGCCTCTAGGATGTACAGTTTGTGGTGGCAGAGGTGTAAAGCGCGGGTTGGAACATGGAGACATGAGCACACAGCACCAGGGCCCGCCTCGTCGAGGGCAACATGTGGACGAACAGGCCTGGCAACACCAAGCGCAACAGGGCCTGTGATCCTGCACTTCACATACAATACAGGCACAGGCACAGACACCAGATATCTGGGAATGACAGCATCCGCCACCGCCACCACCACCAATACCGCCAACGCCGTCTCCGCCGTCAAGCTGACAGTCGAGCTTGTTTGTATATAGATAGATGAGCCCAATATTTTCTCACTCAGCCTTTGTCCAATTTAGCATACATTCGAATGACACTCTTTTTCACGGCCTTGATGTCTGCGTTTGTCCGCCCCCCAATACATCGTTTCCGTTGAGAGAGCTATATCCCTACAGAGGACCGAGCAGCATGAGGAGGAGGAGAAAAGCAAAGGAAGGAAAGTTAGTCGGTTCCAAGTAGTGGTGAATCGAGCAGAACAGAACAGAACAGAGCAGAAGTGGAGGAAGAAGAAGACATCTAGGGTAGGTATGTACATCGGTAGGTAGGTAGGTAGGTAGGTAGGTAGGTAGGAAGTAATGCATTATTTCGCGCCTTAGCCCTATACTGTACCGAGTAGAGACTGCAGACTGTAGACTATAGAGCCCGACGACAGAGACAGAGACATGGGCACTTTGAAGAGATGTAGGTGTAGCTGAACGTGTAGGTGTAGGTGTTTACAGAGAATAAATATCTTTCAACTATATATACCCTACATACCGATAATGATCTGCTCCGTCAAGTTTCGTTCCTTTTTCGTACCTCGTACAAAATACATACATATAATATCCCATGTATCCTCCGTACTCGTAGATAGTAGCCCAAGACGCTTCATTCATAGATATCCATCAGTCCCCCCATCCATCCAGTCATCCCTTCGTCCATCCCATGGATGGGGATCCGCTAGGTTAGGTTCCCAACATCCTCCTGTCCCGATACCACTGTCACTCAATACCAATCAATACAAACATGCATGTAAAAACTCCGAGGGTGTGTATGGTGGTCAGACAAGGATGTGGGGGAGAAGGGAGAAAAACAAAAGTAGTGTAGTGTAATGTAGTGTACACTGATTGTGTAGTAAGTGCAATAAATGTAAAAGGTCGCTGGGGTTTGTTCCTGAATCCTTCGTGTTGTCCTCCTTCCCTCGTAGATTTGTTCGTCCTGTGAGTCCCTTGTATGTGCCTTGATTTCGTCCTGAATTACGAACTCGGCCTTTTGAGAGTAGGAGAAGAAAGAAATATAGTGAGAGGGCGACAGTGGGAGAAAAGTGCAAGTCGTAGCAAAAGACCAGGCAAGAGAAAATAAATGGCAACTCTCAGTTCTCGATGTGCCTCCTCATTCTTCCCCAAAAAGCTCTCACTGCCGTCTTCATCCTGGCTTTTTTAGCCTGCTTCTCCTGTCGTATGGTGGTTTTCGCAGGCGCGGACGCAGATGAAGTGGGAGTCGAAGCCCAGGGCATCTGTTTCGTTATGTCATCCCATGTGGTGCGGGAAAGTCGATGGATCGCTATTTTTGCATTTGCTATGCGAGGCAGCGCGGTGAGAGAAGATTGGGAAAGACGATTATGCGTATTTCGTGAGCTGGAACGATCTGCCCGGTGGCGCGATATATCTGGTGGAGGAAGAGCTGCATCGGGATCATCTTCTACCTCGTCTCCCATGGTGTGAACGTCGTGTGAGTAGTCGGCCTGGATGTCGATTGGAATGTCATGTGCATCAGAAAACAGAGAGATGACATCGTCTAGGTCGCTGCTGTGTCCGGTCTGGCTGTCCACATTTCGCAATTGACTGCTCAGATCCGAAGGGTACTCATGCCAGGGTTTCAATGCTTTGTATTCGTGCCTGGATTCAGCCTCCGCCTCTATTGCCAATAACTCCAATAGTTTGGCCCGTGAAGCAGCTTCCTTTGAAATAGGGATGCTCGGTAACGCCCAATTATCATCTTCTTCTTGATGGTTCTCCATTATCCTGGTAGGCGTCTCGCCTTTCTCTTGTTGTGCAGGACTTCCCAGCCTAGTGAATCGGGGAAATGATGCCAGTTTCCGTATCGCTTTTGGCCCGATTTTCTGTTTCTGCGAAGTCCCTGACGTCAATCGTGAGCCGAGGGTTGACACACTCTGCTCGTAGATGTGCGGTGTCGAATCATCATGTCGAGTAATTGAGGGCACCCCGAATTCGGGCACGGTTGCAGGCCATGACACTCGATGTGCTCGATGTATCGGACCCGATGATGACTTGACCATCCTCCTGGCTGATATTTTAGGAGACGTCTCCGACTGTGAAGGGGATGGAATAGGAGTCGGGATCTTCATCCTCATCTCTTCTTCTGATTTCAATTTGGGCACTAAAGTGGGTTGATCAGACAACTCTGCGACTGGACAAGTCTGGATTTCGGGTTCGGGTTCGGGCTCGGCGGGACTGGAATTGAGGACCGAGATCCTTGCTTGATGCCGGACCTCGCCCTGAGCAGACGTCGGAGCTGATTTAACTGGGTTGGGTGACCACAAGTTTTCCTCTCCTCTCCGACTAGACCATGAGGTACTCAATGGCGGTAGCGACTTTCGCCTAAGGTCATTCTGAGCCGGATAATCATGTGCCGAGTCATATTTGTGTCTGTGAAGATACACGTTCGTCGTAGCCTCGTCCGGGAGATAGTAGGATAATCCGTTCTTGGTTCTGTTAGCAGGTTTAGAGAAGTCAACCTCAAGATGCTCCAGTCTTGAAGGCTCAGGTGAGGAGGAGCTAGATTCCAGGCCTGCAATCGTGACCTCCGCGTGAGCTTCAGAATCGGGGGACTGCAAGGTAATGTGTGGAAGAGTCTGACCCTCGTCATGATCATCGTCTTGCAATTGGTCGTCCAGTCCCACGTCTAGCAGTAACCAAGATAGATCGCGAGGCTCTAGAGTCGGACTGCGCGAGACTGCAGGCTTTATGAATTCCTCGGTCTGTCTTCTGCGGAGCATAACGGTTTTGTGTAAAGGTAGGGCTTCGGGATAGCTGTTACCCATACTGAGAGGCCGCTTTCGGACTTGCGGTTCAGGTAGACTACCATGCCAAATTGTTCCATTTGCCAATTTGTCTTGTGTCGCTCGCCTCGTTCCAAGAGTAAGGCTGCCATCGATATCATGGAGGCGGAGGCCGGTTGATGCATTGAAAATTGTGGAACCTGGTAGGACAGTTTCTGAGGTCAAGGTATGCGTTGACGGTGACTTATCCAGTGAGGTGCGAGGAGTATGTGCGTGGGATTTACCACTGACCTCATCATCAGACAAGTCAATGAAACTGATATTTGCTCGGCTGAGAGTCTGTCGGCCAGTTCCTTCGAGCCGTGAGGGTTGTGCCGGAGTCTGAAGCCTGGGAGGGTTGTGCAGCGTATCATTGTGGCGGACCGCTTTTGAAGACTTTGATCGTCTCTTGGATCGGATTGCAGATTGTCCAATTGGCAACTTCTGGGCAGCAACGTGTGAGGGTGGTGTCTCATCAAGACTTAAGAATCCACTATCGGTATGATCTGGTAGGGTTTCCTCTGCTCTAGATGGACTTCGTTGGGTATTGAGGTCCGGACTTTCAGCTTGGGGACCTGGTGGTGAGGCTGTCGGAGAACAAGCCGGAAATACTCCATTGGCTGGACCAGAGGTGTGAGACTGAAAGGAGTCGACTGCGATCCCGCCCACAGTCTCTTCACTGTCCGAGTCCAAGATTACCATTCGCTCCCTAGTCGACGGACGAGATCCCTCAGTCGCACCCATTGATCTGACATTGGTGGATATTTCCTCCTCTGAATCCCGTTGGGCGGTTGGCGTGCTACCAGTAAAGAGACCATATTTCCCTTTCAAAAATCTTTGTGCTGGAGATTTTGGCGACAGTGTCGAGAGACGAGCATGATATGAAGATCCAGGAGAAGCTCGTGGCCCTGGCTTCATCGCCAAATCAGGTTGATGAGGTTGTGGCGATTTACCGGCCAGAACCCGTGAAGGCTTGGGTGGCTTCTGGTTCCCGCGTTTCTCGTCGTTGGCCAGGCCGACGATACCCCGACTGGAGTAACTGGCCAGGACGACGCTGTGCGAGTATTTACTCGGCATTGGTGTTGTCCAGAGACATGGTACACAACGAGGAGTTCGAGTTGATAGAAAGGAAAGGGGGAAGCTGTCCAGAGATACCTTGACGGAAAACAGCCATCAAACCGGACCGCAAACTTCGGCTGAGTCCGTATTTAGGTTGACATTTCCCTTTCTCGGCTTTTATGTCAAACTTTTGGCGGACGAGCCATCATGCGGCGGTGTGCAAGAGCAAACACATGGAAGAGGTTGAACTTCGAGATATGAGTGGATACTTAACCCCACAGCCATCCAGGAGAGCACATGCAGAACCAAATGTTATGGTTAACCACAAGATATCTCAGTGAGAGGGATTTTGAGGGGCGATGAGCGGGATCGGGTAGTTTCATGCACCAAGGAGGTCAATGTAAGGAAGTGGAGGTTTCAAACAGAGGACTGATCTGCTGATGGGAGCGAAAACATGATTGGTCTTCCAGCACTCCTCCAACAGTGTCAATTGTCCGTTGATGCTGATTGAGATACCCGTCTTTGATTCTCATCGCGGGATATTTGCCTCAGCGGAAGGAACCTTTCTCGTTAGGAACAAGGGGCCGGGAAGGAGGCCCTTTGGCATGCCTTGAGATTCTCTGCCTCCGTAGGCGATTGGCTCGAGGATAGCAGACGATTGGATAGATGAACGAATGAGAGTTCCCCGATCGAACTCTATCCCCGAGCATGCTGACCCCTTTTCTAATCAAGACGTCCTCTAGGACAAGCTGCTGATTGGGGGTGGCCGGATAGCCCAGATTCTGGACAGGCAAGCCAGACTATGCGATGCCGTGTTTCATGTTCGTGATTTCGTAACCCGCTGAGCCACAAGGCACCCGAAGTCCATCTCTTGCTGTGCCACTGAGGGGGGTATCATCGCCACCGTTCATCATCATCCCTGCTCTTAGGCCTAGGCCGCTTCTTCATGCATGTCCATGTAGTGTCACCATTGTAGGTGGATTGATAGATGGGCGGGACGCGGACGGATCGGACAGGTCGCATAGAACGTATGAGAATCGCTCGCTGTCGGAGAAGAGATGGAAGCCTTCCCTTGTCCGATTAGTATGCTTGTCATAATGTTGGGCCTAGTCAACTTGACTTACTCTGGGAGCCAGCTTGGTGGGAGCGGAAGAAGCAGACAAGGTCCATGGAGCCGCAGTCCAAGGCAGAAGGGCAGCTCCCGACCATTGCCGGGGACATCAAACACATTCACTTCCCTCACCGTGTACCCCAGGAGAATATCCGGACGCATCAGTCCTGTGAAATCTCCCCATGGCTTGGTCATCTACAGATGTCCTCGAGGTACATAGCTGTGATTTAGCCGTGGGATGATAGGAGTTTGGTACTGCCGTGTCCCCCGCGGCAGATCACTGTTGTCCCTATCGCTTGTTGACTGGCGAAGAGACCCGGCAACTTCCTCGCTGTACCAAAGTCAAGTTGCAATAGGCTCGTTTGGTACAGAGAAGGATGATCAATGCACTTGTACGTGGTGTGGGAGATGACGCGAGGGGTCATGAACAAACGGCGACACATGCTTCATTTTTGCAGGCAGTGGTACTTCGACTCGAGGTACTCACTCGTTACTATTGATTATCCCATGGCATCAGTATCCAGTCAGCCGCATCACCAAGGATCATCCCCACTGCTTGTTGTGTACATTGAGAAATATCCCATTCTGTCCAGCTCCGCTCCCGAACTGGCAGACTCCACTCATCTCATGTTCCTTGAACCAGGCATTTCATCTCATATCGTGCTCTACTAGGCCCGGCATCGTGCAAGAAGACCTCGTCTGGCCTCGCAACCAGAGCAGGCAAAACAACATTCCAGAGAGAAGGAGAAAAGTGCTGAACCCTTCCGCGTATTTCCAGTTGAACCATAAAACCCCCAATCCTCCCAACGCCATCATGCTAAATCATATCTCGTAGTCGCATTGCGAACTCCATTACCAGTCCCATGATCCGAAATGCTGCCGGCTTTTGTCCTCAGTTGGCACAACCCAATTCCAATTCCTTTCGTAATCCCGTTGCAGAAAAACCACATTATCACCTAAGCAGGCACAAATCCTTCAACAATAGACTGTTTTGGTTTCGAGGAGCCACAGAGGACCCCTCTATTGCGTGTCAGTCATGCTCGTTGCTGCCATTCTTCCTCTTGCTGCCGCCAAAAATCTTCATGGCCTTCTTCCAGCCACCGCTTTCACTTCGATGTGATTTGACACTTGCCAATCCGCTCCCACTCCCGTGACTTATAATCCCACCCAGCTCGCTCGTTGGTGGAGTGGTCGGTGGGGTTATGACTGCGTCAGTTTCCATAAGGTCACCGACAGGAGGGCTATCCGGGCCTCCGCTGCTGTCAGTTAGTGCACTTTCTGAGACTGCGGATGAGTGTGACACGTGCGTCGACAAGCGCACACCGCTCTGCCGACCCAATGCGGACGATAACGAGGATTGTGTCGGTCGATGTTGTTGCGGCGGGGATCGAGTAGCTTCAAACGAGACCGCCGAGGTGTGTGGTGGAGATCGCCGCCGACGAGAAGGCATCCGCCGATGTAGCCCACGCTCATCATATGTTAATCGGGAGGGGTCAAGTTCAGCCATATCCGCAAATTCCGACATAGGTGTATATGTCTGGGCATGAGAAACCTGTTTGAGGCTATTGCAAAATGGAATGAAGATCGAATCCGACATCAAGTCGTACATGCGTTTGACGGCGGCATCCAGATACTCAGGACGAGGAGGTTTGAACTCATAGGATCGCTCGATCAGATCATCTCGTTCCTCGGCCGGCAAATTGATTTCCCGCGGAGCACCTGGCTTGACATAGATTTCGAGAAGCCGCGTCCAGTCCTGTATCAATTCCCATCCTTCCTGCGTTTCTATTGTGAGGGGCATGCCTCCCATACTGACCGATGCTTCATCGTACTTATCCGAGTATCTCTTGGCCTCTGTGGTGAATTCGAGCGTTTCCAGGCAGTGCTGTTGCGATAGAAATGCCGTGTACGCAGCCAGGGTGTAGGGTGATGGTGCTTTGTTGTTGAGCACATCGTCCAAAGTCGGTCTTCCTCCCGGTGATAGGACGCCCTCCTTTCGGGCTGCCATACTGATGGGCCTTGCCCGAGGAGGTAACTCTTCCTCCGACATGTTGAAATCTTCAGGAATATCGACCAAGGGATAGACCAAAGGGTCAAGACGAGGTGAAGGTTCAGGTGTATATGGCCACGCTATTGAGATCGATTTCTTCTTAACCATTGCGCTGGACTTCGCTTTGACTTGACCGCTGCTGGACGCAAGATACCTAGAGTGAGCTATTATGTTGCACGCCTCGTCTGTACCCAATCCTGCCCGAGGAGTGTACACTTGTCCTAGAGGTGTTCGCCGTGATCTGGACTCCGAATCTCGGTTTATAACCTCCTTGATCAGAGTCACTGGATTCTTCCAGGCCAGGTCTCCGGTGCGCCAGTGTCTTGTTCACGGAGAGGGGCAAAAGGGTGTGGTCCTGAGTTGTACAGAGACACTGCAAGATAGACGGCTGTCCTGCTGTGTATATCCGAGACTCTTCCTGCCAGCAAGCTTCTCTCCGTGTCACAGAAGAACGCTGTGTAACCACGACAGGGGTTTCTGTAGGGATGGTTCGACTTGTGAAGCGCCAAATGTTGGGCTCGAACGTGGTCCTTTGAAGCGATAAGAAGTGTGTGATCTGGCTGGCTGAACGGCTTCGTGAGGGTGTATAACGTGGCAGAAGGGCGTGCGTCGTGTGCTCGGTTGGTGTTCGTCTGAGAAGACGTCAACAGGGCGATCAAAGCGTCCAATTGAAGGCAAGGCCGGCGAGACGCAAAGAGGCGGCAAACGGGGAGGGTGTAATTATTTGTGTGAGCAGATAGTGATGCGACAATAAGATCCTAAAGAGCGACGAGAGAAGGACGAATAGCGCAGCCGCAGATGTTCAATTCAGCACAAACATCTGATTGCCAGTGTTGTCGGAATGTTCCCAAAGTCGAAGATCAAAGGGACATCTGTAGAGTTGATTGGAAACGTTTGACTGAATTCTTTTCGCCTCTGAGCTTAGTGAGATCAAGGCCCGGGCACAGTCATAGTGACGGGGCAGTGGAATGAGGACAACGGTAAGAGGTAACAGTGAGGTGGATGATGGATGTGGATGCCCAGGACACTGGGTGACCAGAAGGAACCCGGAAAGTGGAGAGGCGAAAGATGCTCTTGTGCAAGGTTTAGCTAAGAGTCATACTTCTGTCGTCGCGGAGTGTCGAGGTTTGCTTTTCAGTGCAGCGCGGGCGCAGGCGCAGGCGGAGGCGAGAAGATGAGTGGGTTTGGGGATGAAAAGAGTCAATACCCGGAAAGGTCCTTGTCAATCGACCTGGTAGGGGAATGAATTTGGTTTTTGGCTAGCAAGGTCCTTTCGTGTCAGGCTTGAACAGGCTGCTGTATTATTCCTCCTCGTGGAATGTCAGGATGGATGGTCCCAAGATGGCCTTTCAGGGGGGCGGGAGGGGGGGAATTGGTCGTTGGGAGAGATGGGAACGAGGGTGCATTAGAAAGACGAGGGTAGGGAATACGCGCATGGACAGCAGGCAACCAGAGCGTAATTGACACAAGGGCACATGGCCTCAGGCGTAGGCGCAGGCACAGGCACAGGGACAAACGCAGTCAGTAACAATCAGTAACAGGAGGAGTAGTAGTGACTTGGTACAGACAAGAGCAAGTGGTTCGGACCTGCTGCTGCAACGCTGTTCACTAGCCCCGAGGAGCCTTGCCTTAAGCACCACTAGTCGCCCAGGCTAAATCAGGCCTGCATCTCAATGGAGCCCTCTTCAAGCCTGCGGATTGGCTTGCTTGGGGCGCATTATGATGGGATGATGATCAAATGAGTGCCCACGGGGAGGGGTCCCGTACTACCCCTACGCCCACCACGCCCTAAGGCAAATACCCAAGATGTAAAGGACGCCGGGCCACAACTTTAAGAGATTGTGGCAGCCCCCTAACTTGGTTGTCAACTCGTCATGCCCTCGTATAACTAAGTACATGGGCCTAAAATGCTGATGACCATGGTCGGCAACTCATAGGGCTGCGAGTCCAAGCACTGTGGTGAGAAAAAAAAGTGATGATCAGACAATGCCTACAGGGAACCTCTGCGCTCATGTCCTTTGCTCTTACGTACCTGTTTCTTCCCTGTACGCCTGCCCCCGATCGCCCCCGCCTGATTGGCTTCTAGGCGGTCCTTCGCTGGCTTCTAGCAATTCGCTCAGGCTTCTACGCACATTCCACACATTCCATCACTTTTCCACTCTCTTTCTTCGGTCTTCTACGCGTTTTCCAGAACTCGGCCCCTCGGGTTCAAAAAAAATAGTGATCAAGTCACCTGCCACTGCCCACTTTTTCTGGCAACCTTCATCGTCTCCCAGTGCCTTTTTCAGTGGCCTTGGATGCCCTGGTACCCCTTTCAGAGGCAATTAGGGTGGAAAATCCGTTTTCACTGCCCCGCCACAAACACACACACACACATTCCAATACTGGCACCACAGGCGACGACGACAATTTATTGGGTTTTGCTCGCAATCACCCTCGAACCTGATTTTGGCTAAGTTTCTCGCTATTGCCTTCCCTAGATTGTCAGCCTGTTTCGGTGCCGTTGGACCTGCTATTGCTAATAGGTGTGTGGCTACCAAGTAGGATTGTGGACTTTTGTTACCCGGCATTCCCTAACATCCATCTCTCCCGCTACCCGGATTTCGACGACATCAAACTACGAAAAGTCGCCAGATCCTTCTACTTATGAGGCCTGAAACCCTGCCGCTGTGCATCCTTTCTCGCTTGGGCCTGTCCAAGGCCTTCCTCCTTCCCGTTCCTGCCTCACCGCTCCCATCCTAGCCGTTGTATCTATCCAAAATGGCCATACACGACGTAAAATATCTACTAGTGACAATTGCGCGAGAGAGATATATCTGCTACTGACATTCCACATTCTTCCACTTCAGGGGCCATGGCTGGGATCCCAATCTGCACAGCCAACTGCGCCGGGTGGCCATTTGGGGAAAAGATACGTGTAGGTCAGCTGCAACGTGTTTACTTTTGGCAGGTGGCGACGGCAATCATTTGTGGAAGTTATACCCCCGAATAATAGCGGTCACCGAATTGGTCCTGGCACAAGTTGATGGTGATCGGAACGAACTGCAGAAGATGCGACCACAGACGAAAAAGAAAAGGCTCTCTACATATCTTCCCACTTGTCGGTGCACATGCTTTGCATTCTGTCCTTGATTGCACTGTAGATCTCTTCTACAAGATCTGGGCCGATCGCATTTTGATTGAGAGGCAGTGACTGGTAAGCATCTCCGGCGACGAATATTGAAAGTCACTACTCCACTTTCTGGAAGGAAACTCCCGATGTGCCGAATACATGCAGTACTTCGTCCTCGTAGGTAAGACCTGTTGCTTGAGATTTGCCCTCGACTCCACTACACACTCAAACACAACCGTGCCAGCAGCCATTCATCTCCTTCTGTGCGGAAAAAAGATTTGCTCCCTCTCTGGCGTTTCGGAAGATTGGATCGTGGCGACGGCGGCGGACCTCGCTTCCGAGCTTCCACCAGTCTTCTTTCAGTCTTCTAGAAACCTGCCTAGATGAGAGATTTACCCATTTCGCCTATGCTTCCGCTTTTGGGGCGACATCCGCGCGTGTGCCGACACGTGGGCATCCCTGGCATCCTGATGCTACGGTTATTCCATCGTCGGCGCTGCTTCGGACCAACGGCATCACCATCTTCCAAGGACAGGGCGGTTTCTTGCCGCCGGGCTGATCCTCAGCAAGCAACATTCTCGTAGTGAATGGCACTTCCGTGGAGCCGTCGTCGTGTCGTGGCATTGGGCTTGCCTTCCCACGTCACCTTGCTCCGCTGCGGACGTTACGATGATGCCCCCAATTGGCCACATGGCGCTGGCCAGGTCAAATTGACAGGTGGTAACTGACTCTGCTGCCGGTGGATCTGTGGCAGGAATTTTCTCAGGGACCGACTTCCTCATCTGTCTTTCTTGTCCTCAAATGGAGCGCTGTTCACGCGGATGCGGTGACAAGGACCTCTCCCGAGATTTGTGAGATCGAGATCCCAGCCAAGGCGCAGCACAAGGTCCTGCATATTTTTCCATTCTTGTCGATTTTCCCGTAATGTGTCAACGATCAGCTGAATAGCTGGGTCGAGTCCATCGTATAGCTGCGAGGAATGGCTGTGAGTGTCGAGCTTTTCCTCTGAAGTGGAAGGCAGTACGTGTTGTTCAGGATGCTGGGTGGCCTCGAAAATGTCTTGTCGTCCTTGCACAAGGGCATGCTGCTGCGACAAGTTGGCAACATTTGGGTTGGCTTTCACTCGCGATGATAATCGAAGCAATTGGCAGATTGCCTTTGCCTGTGTTTCACCCCTGGCCGATTCTTTCAGCAGCACAAATCCTTGCTTTGACCGCACATCCCACCAGAGCACATAGTCTTCGTCCTGGAATACCCTGAGCAGCTGAGAAAACCAGAGGTCTCTTCCCGAAGGATTGTTCTCGCCCTCAGGTAAGGTTCGTAGGAACTTGTTCACGCTAACACCGACCTGGAAGTCCTCATGGCAATTGGAGGTACGGAACATCTGTCCCAGTCCCAAGATCGATTCCTCCTCACCTACCTCACTCAGACCTTTTGCCCTGCCTCGAAGAAGCGCGCTGAATAAAATAATGGCTCTGTCCTTGTTGAGCGAAGTCAAACGCACACTCTTCACGGCTTTCCAATTCGCCCACAGATGCATTGCCAATAAGGGTATCAAGCAGCACCATGTCTCAAAAGTGCCGTGCACCTTGCTGACAAGCAGACCTCCGACCCACATACCGACCAAGCTCACGACAGTCTCCTGACTGCCGTCTTTGGCATTGAGCTCTCCGATATTGCCTTCCTTTGCAAAGTGGGAGCTCAAAATGGCCTTGCTGCTCCCGCCAGAAACTCCGCAAACCGCTCTGCACGCATTGCTGACGCAAAGAGTACAGATTCGCCCCAACAGTGGCAGACCAGGGCTCAAGCAGTCTAGGACAAAGGCAATATCGTTGACTATGTCGGCAAAGAAGCGGTAGAACTTGACTTCTGCTTCGATTTTCTGCGAAAACTGGTAGGCAAACAAGATTGTCGCAACCCGGCCGATGGTTTCTTGCGCGATATACAACAACATGGTGGTCACAAGCGAGGCGTCCTCAGACCCTACACCCATGCCAACGAAGACGGCCCGCGAGGCTAGTAGTCCTGCAATGGTAGAGGCAAAAGCCTGCACAGAATCGTAGATCTGGTACGGAGTATAATCTGGTCTGACGGAGCCAGGGTATCCCGCTGGCAGAAAGGGGCCCATGCATTTGGTGAGCAAGGATTTCTTGGGCGACAAGGATCTCTGGGGACGATGGACTTGAAGCCTTTGAGTCTCAGGATTGTATCTGAATGTAACTGTTGCGTGCCCCTGTGGATCCAAGTCTTGAACCTCCAGCTCTGGCACTGATTGTTTGGCCATGTTCCCTGTTGGTGTGGCACCGAGTGGGTTGAGGGTCCGCGGGCATTAGTGAGTGTAACTCGATTACGCGTGGAGGCTACTCTTAGAGCAGGCAGAGTCGACAAGGGATCTTCTCTTCGCTTCCAACAACAGATTTCGGTGGGAGATGTAAAGGTGATGACTTGTGGTTGGAAGTATGTTGGATGGTGGAGGTGACAGGAGATGAGGCGTATTGACGCTGTGATCCCCCGTACAGCGGCTACTGCGAAGTCTAAGTGATTTGCAAGCGAAAGCGCGAACAGCACCTCTCGGCCTCATGTCCTTTCATCCACCAGCTCAGCTTTGATGTGTTGAGTTCGAGTCTTTTTTTTTCCCTGATCGCAGCAGTGATGACCTTCGATATAATGCCTAGTCTCAACCCCCGCAACAGAGGCCACGACAGAACCAGTGCTTGGGCTATTCTATTTGCGCCCTTGATTGACTGCGCCTCTTCTATCAGAAAAGTCACTTCAAGGAGTCAAGATAACTGAAGTGCAGCTCTATACTAGACTGACTGCTCTCAGGTCTCGGGACAAGCAATGCGACAACCTGCATCGAAATTGAAGAGAATTGCGTTGCTCCTTCCCACAAAATTGTCCCTCGTTCTTGCCATCGTCCTTCCCGTCCGCAGTTGAGCATCTTTGGTGTTGCCTCTCATCATGCCAGAGTCGTTGAGTATTTGCTCATATCACGCTGTTTCTTTACCATTTGAAGCCCCAGATGCTTCCCCGTTGTTTCATGGCACCCAACTTTACACGACCACATTTCTTCTCTTTTTCATTCCATCGGTGTGACCTGCTTTTTACCTGCTATCGAGCATGTGTACCCTAAAGCGCCTCCTCTCGCCTTTTCTTTGCTGCTTTGGCATGCGCCCCTCTGAAGACCACGCGGAATCTGACCTCCATACCCTACCTTCTACTCTTTCGGTGCAACTTCCTGCTTCTCAGATTCCGCACGCTGTAAGCCAGTCAGGCGCACACACAGCAGACAGGGAAGCCCTCCGCGAACTTTTCCGGTCCTCATCTTCCGTCCGTGGCTATCGAACTGCCTCTCTTCCCTCAGGATCGAATCTCCACAGGGAGCCGTCCTTGGACACTGACTTTAAGTTTGGGCCACAAGATCAACATCGGAAACAGTCTAGCCGCATAGAGCAATTGGGCAGTCACATTAAGCAGAAGCTCTCGGAGTCGAGATTGAGCAAGAGCAGCTCTAGACCTCAAATGATATCTGAGCTTACTCCTCACGATACGACAAGACGTGACAATGCACAATTGGGAATGAATGCCCCTGAAGGAACACTGAGCCAGCGATCTACGGGTCTCCTCGAACTTCTTATGTCGCGGACTGCAAGTGAGGGTGGTTATGATAGCGACGCAAAAAGCATCCAGACAGCTGCGCTGAAGGCGAGCGATGGCACGAGCAAGTTAAGTCCATCGAGGGTGCTGAGCCTGTCTTCACCCGATAGCATTCAGCTCGTTAAAACCGACTGTACTCCGCCGTCTCCTACAAGTATTCGTACACTGATGGACCCCCATATCCGATCCGAGAATCCAAAGGCATCATCCACCCCGTCTACACCATCGAATGCCTCGTTTATCAAAGTCGTCCAAGGTCAAAAAGACAAATCACCTTTAGGATCCTCGAAGCATCCCGGCAAATTGGCAGCCGATGTTACAATCGAGCTTACACAAGGAACTAAATCCAAAACCATGCCTCCTTCGACCGACCCTGACGCTCGAGAGCATGATCTCCTCACTCCTTCTCCGTTGAAAGACTGCAACGAATCTGTGGCTATGCTCAAAGCACTGGAGGGCACCGATTCTGCGGCCAAAAGAGAAAGTCAGATCTCCAATGCGACGGGTCCACGGGCGAGTTTAATGTCGGAGTTAGATCCAAACCTGCTAGGTTTCATTTCGAAGTATGGTGAGCGCTCGTCAGTCGAGATTTTGGAAAGAATGCCCGGTGACAATGCCGTCGCATTCGTTCGCAAATCGAATTCGTTGGCAATGACTGACCTGGATCCATTCGACGTCTCAAAGCCAGGGAGAGAGGGCATATCGAGAAAAGATCTCTCTTCTCTGGCCGATTCTGACCGAAGCTCGGTCCATTTGTACAATATGCGAATTTCTCAACGCCTCGCAAGTCCATCCTTTATTGCTTCTGGCAGACCGAATACTAGCCACACAACAACAGCTCGAACACCGAGAGGAAACTCTCTAGACTTCCGACCCTCCACCAGCCAAACATCCGTGGCCGGGAGAGTCGGGGGTCTTATCACGGTTGAGCACAATAGAAGACCATCGGATCCTGAAACTAAACGACTTTTCGAAGGTGACTTGGTCAGACGACGCACATGCTTCAGCCGGAGGCCTGACGCTTCACCAACCCACGCCAATACATTTGGAAAGTCCAAACCCCTGACTGGTACCGAGGATGCCTCATCATTCTACTGGAGTGATAGTGAGTTCGAAGATGTTGGACCACCTAGGCGAAGTAAGCGCAAAGGAAATCCCAATAGCATAGCCATTGGCGGGAGGTCAGAGTCCATCAGCTTGCCTATAGGGTCTTCTAGTGCCAGCATCGGCAACCTTTCAGTTGCAGAAGAAAGTGCTTGGTTTAGCAGAAAGCGTTCAGAGAACAATCAAGGGATTGAAGAAGAAGGACGGAGTGTTGAGTTCACCAAGAGGAATAGAAGTGTCAGCATGCCAGACCGGAGCAACGCTGATTACTACCTACACCCTGGTGTGAGTTACCAGCAAATTCAGCATTCGACGGAAGCCAATGAAGCCATGAGCGAAATCAACACCGATCTTATACGAGAGGCTAGGAATGAAAAATTGACAGAAATCAACGTCCAAGCGATTCGCGACGCACACAATGAAAGAAAAAGTGAAATCGAGCCCGCCAGTAACGGAGATACCACTGCTGCCCGGCAAGGTCCGTGCAACCAGAAGTCATTTGCCATCTCTCATCCACGACACTCACTGCCCTTGTCGAGAATCTCTGTTACTGGACGGCCTTCAAGGTCAGAAGATGGCGATGCAGCAAGATCGATCTACGATGGCCCCAACAAGTTGCACGAGTCTGCTACCGATATGTGGCAGAGGTCCTTCAAACGAGCCATGGAAGAGCCTGAACATGATACAATGGGTGGTTTCCTCACATCGCCAAAGTTTGATCGTGACGGTAGGAGGAGAAGTACGAGGTCGAGTATCAGTGCAGCTCAGCTGTCTCATCAAAGCCAACAGACCACGGCGGAAGAAGCCGATTTGAACACCTTGCAAGAGATCAAAGTCCGCAATGGATCATCCAGTGTTGAAAAGCAACGTCATCTCCAGATCTGCGTAAAGAAATCTGATCCACTGCCATGTGTGAACCCGAGCCCCAGCATCACCAACGTTGATGTTGGGAAGGAGACACCTCTCAATCTTCCAGCCAAGAAGACTTCTAGGAAAAAGAGTATCCTAGATATCGGAAGACGGTTCACCGTCGTTGGAGCTTCCAGCGAAAGTGACCGGGCTTCAGGGGCGAGTACACCGCTGAAGGATATTTTTGGTCTTTGGGGACGTTTTCCCAGCCACACGAGACAGGAGAGGTGCGCCTCAGCAGGGCCCAAGGACGGTGTCGCAACGCGAGACTTTGCTCTCGACTATCAGGACGAAAACACCTCATGCACAACCCCTCGGACGCCGTGGGCTCGGCCTACACCGACACGAGCATTACATACTCCTGGATCTTGGAGAATGCTGCAGTTTAGTAAGCAAGACGGTGGAGAGAAAGCCGGAACCAAGCGTATACGGGGTACACAGTCTCTGGGTATGCGGCATAGCAAGAGCCGAAAAGGACTCGCTGGACGATGGAAGAGACTCTACCGCAGCAGCAGCACCGAATTCAGAGCGTACGTGCACACTCACGGGCATCGCAGCAGCATCAGCGTGGGTGCCAGTGTCGAATATCCGGAGCTTGAAGTGATTTCTGGTGATGAACGTCGGTTTGAAGGCTGTGGGACATTTGATTGGCGACCAGATATGGATGGATCTGCAGAAACCAGCCACCTACAGGAGCTACAGGTGGTAAATCGTGTGCCAGATCGCCCTCCAGAGCCATTGGACACCCAACCTTGGACTCGCATATATCAGGACTGTGTTGGGAGTCTGTCGGCCTTGAAGAGCGATCCCAACATGAAACTGGGCGGCCTTGCCGAGGTCTCCACTGGATTGTACGACCGGCACGTCACCAGCGACAGTGTGCAGAGCGCAGGGCTGAGGGACAGTACTGTTGATTTCGAACATCAGCTCGGGCAGGAGCATGAGACAGTCAAAAGAAAGCTTATCAGCAAGATCGAGAGTATGGATCAGAGTGAGGAGCGATTGGATGTCCACACAAGGCCCACGGCCGAGGGATAGTTGTGCACTGGCAGGCTGTGCTTTGTGGCCGAAGTAACGAGTATTTGATAGTTGACTATAGATTAGTTGTGGGCAAGTACGGACAGAGGAAGCAGAGATACAAAAGGAACAGGCAGGGTTCGAAGCACTTTTTGTTCATTTCCCTATGTTTGACTATGGGGATGACAATGACACTTTCTGTCTGGTATCATGGTGTTTTTGTTACTGTGTAGCACGCGCATGTGCACCTGAGTGCAAAAAAGGGGGGAAAAGCTCTTTCAATATCCATCCGATGGCGATCCACGCAATGAGATATCCTGAATGTTGTGATTGTGGTTGTTGGGGTGGTAGGTGACGACGCATTCCGACCTTGTCCTTTTGACCCTGGAATTTCCGAGTCACTGAACATTCCCTCCTGTCCATCCTTTCGGCATTGCATAACATCGCTTCGTAGGTATCGTATGGCATCGTATCATATGGCATGAATGACCATTTGAAAAGCCAGGTGATTTGATATGATGGGAAGTGGAGTAACGTCAGGATAAGCATGTAAGTAGGGATCAACGGCTGTCAACGCTTTCCTCACTCACACTCACA